CTCTGTTATTCTCTTCTATAAGAAGTGCCCGCAATTGAAACAGAAAAATATATCTCTCTTTAGCTGCTTTCCTTTTAGGAGACACAGTCGACACAAAAGTCATTCTGTCTTCGTTCGGTATTCAGTGAGAAACAAAGATAGAATGACTCTTGTATCGACTTGTGTCGACTGTGTCTCCTAAAAAGAAAGCAGCCTTTGTCGATTCTCCTTGCGCTCCCATGGCCTCTCCGTGAGTATAAGCTCTATGATCCAAACGCACCGCATTCACAGGTTGCACACATACACACACATCAGAGTTCATTCATTTGTCATTCNCACACAGTCGCGCCGCAAACACACGCACGCAACGGCGCTCGTTAAGTAACACTTTCATCTGCAACAAGATACTCGAGCGCATTAATTCCAACTATCACTGCTAGGAGGCAATCGACGTAAATTATATTCGTATTATATTTTTTTTTTCTTTTAGTACGTTTGATGTAAACGCACCCGTTCTAAATTTTTGATACGCCCCAAGCTTAATACGCGTATCAAGTTTTGACGATGTAAACTAAGCCTATCTCTTATATCTTTATGGTTTCAACCACGTGGCACCGTGGCAGTGTGATACAACTGTTGGAATAAATCAAGGAAAGCAACAANATTGTAGTAAAAATGTGCGGTATTTGGGCACTTTTTGGATTTCATACGCATTCGTTCACTTGTATCTGTGAGAATTTTGATAAAATAAAACATCGTGGTCCTGAAGCTTTTATAATAGAATTTGATATTAGAATGAAAGTATGTTTTATTTTGTTGCATCAGTCACATTATTCACTGTATAATACTTTTTTTTTTTTTGTTTTTGTTTTTTTTTGCAGAATGGATATTTAGGATTTCATAGATTAGCCATTGTCGATAGCTTGTATGGAATGCAGCCGATGANAATACATAAATATCCGCATCTTTTTCTTTTGTGCAATGGGGAAATATATAATTTTGAAAAAGTATGTACTCTATGTTACATATATATAGATATTATATTAGTTACGTAACATTATATATATAAGTTTATATTTTTTGGCTGTATATATAGTTATTTTTTTACATTGTACATATGTAACATTTGGTATCGAAACATGTATCTATATACCAATTGCAGCTAGGAAAGCAACATAAGTTTGATTATAACACTAAATGTGATGTAGAAGCACTTTTGCATTTATATGCTCAATGTGGCGCAGACAAAGTTGCTCGATCCTTGGATGGTGTGTTTGCATTTTGTTTAGTAGATGTTGATAAAAGAAGAATTCTCATAGGTAGAGATCCTTATGGCGTAAGACCTCTGTTTAGATTGCGTTCGGATAATGGACAACTGGCTATTTGTTCGGAAAGCAAGGTACTGTTGTAAAATAGCTGTATTGCAAAAGTTTTTTATATATTACCGAGTACTACATCTCGATAACATAATTTGTTATGATAAATATATTATTAGGGTTTGATGAAAATTTCGCAATATATAAATGGCAATTCGAAACTTGAACCATTTCCTCCAGGTTGTTATGAGGAATACGAAATTTTGCATGATGGCCAGACAAAGTTTTTGAAAAGTGTCCATTATCACGAGCCTGGTGATAAACCTTCTTTTCAAGTACATGTTCCTTGGTCTGGTGAATATAAATTTCTACACCACATATTTACATTGAATTTTTGTGCGAATGTATCGTAATACTCGTAATTTTTACAGCTCTGAATCTTACAGATATTCATGGTAATATTCGAAAGCTTCTTTCAGAAGCTGTTGAAAAACGATTAATGGCTGATAGACGAATAGGTTGCCTGTTATCAGGTGGATTAGATTCTAGTTTGGTGGCAGCTTTACTAGTAAAGCATGCAAAGAAAAACAATTTTCCATATAAAATACAAAGCTTTGCNATAGGAATGAATGATAGTCCAGATATTATCGCTGCCAGACAAGTTAATAAAGTTTTCACACAGAGTTTCTCTCTTATTCTCTCTTTTTTTACTTTTTTTCTTTCTTCNTTACTTATTTCAAAAGTGTTTAGGCAATGATTTTCATGCTACAGGTCGCAGAGTATATTGGAACTGAACACCATGAAATTATCTTTACGGAACAAGATGTAATTAGTGTCTTAGATAAAGTTATTTATTCTTTGGAGACATACGACATTACTACTGTTCGAGCATCAATCGGGTAAGACAGTCTTCGTAATAAAAAAAAATAAATAAAAAAGAAAATATTTGATTGTTTGATCAATTTTATACTGAAGAATTTCCTGTATTTATAGAATGTATCTTATTTCGAGATACATCAAACAAAACACAGAAACAACTGTGATATTTAGCGGAGAAGGTGCGGATGAAGTGGCGCAAGGTTATATTTACTTTAGAGACGCACCAACCGCGTTAGATGCGCACAATGAATCTCTTAGATTATTGAGTGATATATATTTGTATGATTCGTTGAGAGCAGATAGAACTACTAGTGCTTTTAGCTTNGAACTTAGAGTTCCATTCCTAGATATTCAATTCACTAATTATTATTTATCATTGGATCCCGGTAGCAGACAACCTCGAGGTAAAAATAATGATTGTTTGGAGTTGTGAGATATTCGTTATGTTAATATTGATTATTCATTTATTTCACAGATGGAATTGAAAAACATTTGTTGAGATCTGCGTTTAATGACAGCGGTTTGTTACCAAACAATATACTTTGGAGACATAAAGAAGCTTTCAGCGATGGTGTTACTTCAACCAAGAAATCTCTTTTTCAAATACTACAAGAAATTGTTGAAAATCGTATAGAGGACAAAGATTTAGACGAAGCTTACATTAAGTATCCTCATTGCACACCCAAAACAAAAGAAGCTCTTTATTATAGGTAAATATCAACAATATTGTTTATTCGTACAATAACTTTTTCTTTATTTTAGAAATGTCTTCGAGTCGTATTATAAGGGCCAAGCGGAAAGTTTTACACCTTATTTTTGGATGCCTCGTTGGGTAAAAAACGTCACTGATCCATCTGCGAGATTTATTACACATTATGCTGTAAATGATGAAAAGAGCCGTGTGGAAATGATTTAGAGGAAAGAAGAAAAATCTGTGCAATATATAATTTCTCATAACCATTTTTTATTGTTCTTTCATTTTTTAAAATAATAACTTTTTACAATAATAAAAATGAATTTTTTGGTTGTCTACTTATGGTTTGCATATTTTAAGGGCCTTCTACAATAAGATAGTAGTAATAAATCAGAAGTAAGAGATTGACTAATCACAATCGATTATTCTTATGTGATTTGTATGTGATTGGTCAATTTCTTGCTTTTGACTTCTGATTTATTACTAATATCTTATTGTAGAAGGCCCTTTACAATTTTGACCAATATAAAATTATTAAGTTAGATTAGGGCACAGACTCTTTTGTACAAATATGTTGCTTGGTTTGGTGCAAAAATGGCACAGTGGACCGAATTAAGTTAGTTCATACACCGATATATACATAAATGTATTAAGCCCCTTGCACAATGCGAGAGAATAGTGATAGAGATAATCAATAGACACAGAATTCCAACTCGTTGGAAATTTTATTGCTACTGCTTATTCCGTTTTCTGACCTGCATTGATACATGTATATTTTTTTAATATTGTTGTTGTTTTTTGTTGTCAAATTGTACATATAATGTTCTACTACCATCGATGTCGTTGTGCATGCGTCATTTGACAAGAGAGGTCTCGAGGCATCTTTCTTTTTCCAAGTCTCTATCGCATCCATTTACTCGCTAGCATAGGACTCGCGCACTCTAGTCTTATATTTCTATGCGCTAGACAGAAAATCAACGAATCAAAGCCTTCTAAAACGAGAAATTGGGATGAAAAAATATAAAAAAACCGGATTGATCAATTTTTTTTATGTTTTATGCAAAAGTCTGTGCTCCGACTGTTACAATTCGTGTTTTATGTAAGATAAATGGTTAACTTGCAAACATTAAATGATTAAATTACAAAAAAAAGATTTACCCCTGGTGGGACTCGAACCCACAATCCCCGGTTTAGGAGACCGATGCCTTATCCATTAGGCCACAGGGGCGAACGATTGTCCGAGTGTTATTTTTGTCAAATATGTATGATTGATTTTGCATATAGAAGATTGTTTTTTATTATTTATTACATATTGTTTAATAACACATACATATGTTTGCGCGCGAGTAATTTGACTTATCGGAATTGTGTTTTGTAAAGCCCCTTGCACAATGGAAGGAATAGCGATAGCGATAGAAATAACACAGTTTTAAGCTCCTTGCACAATGGAAGGAATAGCGATAGCAATAGAAATAACACAGTTTTTAACACAGAATTCCAATGCGTCGGAAATTTTATCGCTATTGCTTATTCCGATTTTCTGATCTGCATTGATACATGTGTATTTTTGTATGTTAGATTCCGCTGTTCCTATCTTTATTTTTATAAATAAACTCTTTAAAACTTTTGTTATTTCTATCGCTATCGCTATTCCGTCTATTGTGCAAGAGGCTTTAGACACAGAATTCCAACTCGTCGGAAATTTTATCGCTATTGGTTATTCCGATTTTCTGATCTGCATTGATACATGTGTATTTTTGTATGTTAGATTCCGCTGTTCCTATTGTTATTTATAAATATAAACTCTTTACAACTGGTATTATTTCTATCGCTATCACTATTTCGTCTATTGTGCAAGGGGCTTAAGAATGGTTTGTTCAGCTTACGAGCGTTCGGAAACACTACAGTGTGTAGTACACTACGGCTGTGTTCCAAAATTCATTGCCAGTACTACAACCTTATAGTTTATGTCACGTATATTATACATTTGTAGTACTGGCTGTGAATTTTGAAACTCAGCCAGTATATATATCGAATTCGAAATTGTATTGCGTTCAATTGCCGCAACAGTGGTGTATGCTGTATGTATGCCACGCGCATGCGCGAAAAAAGCATCGTATTTAGCAACACTGGTGGAATAGGGGGACTTTCTAGCAGAGCTGCGTTCGGAAACATCACTAGTGTATATTTTATCTTTATTACTCATTATATATAAAACAAAGATAGAATGATGCTCGTGTGTACACGAGTGCTGGGGGTCGATTGTATATCACGAAGTCTAGTGAAAATCATAAAAATGAGCAAATTTACTAGTTGTTGACCAATAAGATCATAGATATTTTAGTAAATTTGCTCACCTTTGTACTTTTCACTACACTGCGTGATACACAATCGACCCCCTGTTTCCGAACGTGACGCAGGAGAGATGCGTAGTCCAGAGAGTCCGTTGTCACGCCATCTGACGACACACATGTTTGTGTATTTAATTACAAATTGTTGTATATTGTTATATATGTGAAAGAGATCAAGAGTTAGATCGAACTATGAGTGTTGCGCGTGTTATTAATCATTTTTCGAAATATTTGCAATTTTATGTGGCACGACATTTTAGTGACAATTGTAATTATACATATAAGTAATAAAGAGATACAATTGTGAAGTTATTAATGCGTTGTATCACACACGTATATATTTTCTCTCTCTCTCTTTTTATTAACAATAATATCATTTTTAAATAACTGAGTATTTTCATTTTTATATAGATCGTGTAACTTCGTCTCTAGTCAAGATACAAGATACAGAAATCCAAAGTAATAATAATGAAAACTATATTGTCTGGCTTGATATGGAGGTAATTCTTTAGAGATTATACAAGTGAGATATTTAAAAATTAAAGAGGTTTAAATTTCAAAAAGCTGGATTTTTTCAGATGACAGGATTAGAAGTGGAAAAGTGTCATATTATGGAAATTGCTTGTTTAATAACTGACAAATACTTAAAGCCTGTGAGCAATTGCTTAAATGTTGTTGTACATCAGTCGGATGAAATTTTGGAGAATATGTCTGACTGGTGTAAAGAGCAACACAAAAAGGTAAATATGTATCTTTCTTTGATAATAATAATGTATTTGTGTTAATGTGTTAATATTTTCAATATTTGTGATTTAATGACAAGTATTGAAAACAAATATAGACTGGCTTGATAGATGAATGTCGATCGAGTAAAATTACATTAGAGGAAGCTCAACAAAAAATGCTGCAACACTTGGAAAGTCATGTTTCGAGAGGCGTGTGCCCGTTAGCTGGAAATTCAATTTACATGGATCGTATATTTCTGAGGAAATATATGCCTTTGGTCGATAATTATTTGCACTATAGAATTATAGATGTCAGTACGATCAAAGAGTTGGCTAGGTATAACAGGAGAGTTAATTAAATGTTTTGTAAATAAATATAAATTTTATATATAAATATAAACAGTATTTCTAAAGCGGTGTTAAACTCTTGTTTCAGAAGGTGGCAACCGGACGTGGAGAAAACTGCTCCGAAAAAACATTATTATCACAGAGCTTCGTTTGATGTGAAAGACAGTCTGAATGAGCTTTCTTTCTTTAGAAACCATTTGTTTGTAGCAAAGAAATAGCAATAAACTGAAAACAAAAAAGATGTATTATTTGAACCCTGATATTGTAATGAAAACTTTTTCAAAATAACAAACTGTTTTGTTGTATCCTGAGTTTGTACTTTGTTTTACCGAGCGCAAGTTTTACTACTTTGTAACTTTTGTAGCTTTACATTTAACTTTTATTTGTAACGTTTGTAAATATTTTTATTAGATTGTCTTTTTTTCTATATCGAGAGTGCGCAATTTTCTTGATTTTTAAATATACAATTATCGAAGCTTGAATAAAACACGTGGTGTAAGTTTATTAGGAATACTTCGAAAGATCTGTATTTTCGATTAAACTTGAAACTTATTTGCGCGAATCTAACTTGATTTTTAACCTAAATTGCAAGAGTAAAGTTAAGTTAGAAGCTATTCGTAAAACAAAAATGAAGGGAAAAATATCCATATTCCTTTATTTATATACATATTACGTGTATCGCTGCGGTGTGAAAGATTCATGTAGGTCAGTATGGAACTGATAGCGTGGTGGACACAGTACCGAGACTAGTCGATGGTGGTGACAGTGGTAACAGTCGGGACTAGTTGGAATCGCACGGAATCGGATTTGGTCGAGACAGGTCGAGACTGGTCGCACAGCCTAGTGGTCGCGCCAGAGCGAAATGGAGCAAAGAAGCAATGGCGAGCAGCGATGGTGGAGGAGGAGTCTGTAATGGTATGTGGTGATGGAAGTCGAGAATCTTTCTTAACGAATGGCTCTGTCTGAAGTGCACAATTTAACCGCGATTATCGGCAACAATGCTTTCGCCGTTAGTAAGGTGAGAAAATATATATTTTTTTTTTCTTTTTTTCTTTCCCCTTCCGTTTCTCCTGCCCGTTTTGCTAGTTGAAAATTTAACTTTTGTTTCGTATTAACGGTTCGATGAGACATTTAAAGATTTCTTTTTGTTCCATTATATGTTACGTGTGTTTTGTAACACACATACAATAGCCCAAAGATTGAGACAAAAAAAGAATAGAAAAAGAGAAATTGCAATTGAAAAGAACGAGTCTGTCGTACATATACTTATATGATCGTACATTTGAGTAAGAGAGAAAAGGAAGAAGACGGTGCGATGCGATCCGTGTTTGTTTGAAGTCGCTACGAGAGAAAACGAAAAAACGCCCGTGAAGAGAAATTGGTCTCTCGTTTATTCTATATACGTTTGTTCGACGAGCAAATTCATTTGCATATTATTGGAGTTGTCCATTGAGTAAAGTCGCGATTGTAACAGCGACAAACGTTTTTTTTTTCTTTTTTGACGTCGCGTCGTTTATTAAAATTGTGTCTCGGTAGTTTACTCCGTTTTTGCACTTTGCTTCTCGTGCGTACTGTTCGAATCGCAAAACGCTTTGTAAATATTTCGCTGATTGATTGATTTGGTTATTCTCACAATACACCTTGATATTTTCGCGTTGAAGAATTTTTGTTGCGATATTCCATCTCTTGTGCTCGTTTAGTTGTTATAGTCGACGGTACTGCTTTTAAAATGGTAGGTTTTCTTCTGCAGGATAACAACATCGAACGCAGTGTCAGTATGCTGGAAGTACCGCGAAAGATTTACTCTAGAGACATTCGTGGTGTAGAGTACAGTCGTTGGAGCTATGACTTAACAAGTTGCAGCGCGAAAGGAAATGTAAGTAACATAGAGATTTGCCGAGTGATTGTTGAGTATTTTTTCATTTGAGATCTTTGAACACAATCTCTGTTTAGATGAATATCGAAGACGAGGACAGTCAAGATTTAAATAATCCAATGGTCAACGACTTGGTATCAAAGATTCTTGATGACGATTCCATTGCTATCGACAGTTGTTGCACGAGTTGCAACAACAGTGCTAACGTGCGTTATGAAACAGAATTTGCTAATTCTTGCCCCAACCAAGTTGGAGATAGTCTGGATGCCTATTTGACGGATATGAATCATTTAGAGATTCGTTCGCCGTGCGGCAAGTTGACGAACAATATTTACAACAACGTTAAGAATGAATATCATTATTCGAACAACCTTTGCAACGATATGAAAACATTGAGTTTTAACGCGTGTATGGGACAGTCTGTAGAATCGCAAAGTACTGCATGTGGCAATGAAATTGCATCGAACACGTATTTGTCCAATCCTCGATCGCACGTTATACATGCAGACGACGGAATAATGTACACGGGTGGTACCAACGTGCCATTGTGTAACGATTTGCTAACCACTACGAGTGGAATAAACTATGGCAAACAGTCCGAGAACTGGACGGAACCTCTTGTGACATATTCGATGGGAAATTACGCGAAAATTTCAAATTGTATCAAACCGGATCTTAATTTTAACGTAACTGCGTTAACTTTAGCTTTGGACTCGCCCAATTCTGTTCCTATTAATGAGCTAGAGTATCGTAACGATATGAGACATAATGCGTCGTCGGGTTCGTATGGTAATACTATAGTGAATAACATTCACGATATGTACAGTGTTGCCGCTAACACTTGTCAGAGTAGTTCCGTTGGGTACAGGCCCAACTCGGCGATGACTGAACTGAGCGCCGATTCTGGTTTCTTGTCCAACTCGCCGTTGCAACATTCAATTTCATCTGCTGATACAACTTTGCACACTTGTTTCGGAAGTAGTGCGCAACAACGTAATAGTATTGGCGATTTCAAGGATGTTCACGACACTGCTAAATTAAATATGACACGAGGTATTAATGTACCTAATGAGCAACTTCAGTTTTTGCACCAGCAAACAACACGTAGCTACAAATTGGATCAAGTTGTGGACCAAGATTATAAAAACTTGATCGACTATTATCCCGCCGTAACGAATAACTTTGTCGCATCTTCTGTGAATTTAGACACAAATGAGAATGTTTGTTCGCCTAATGATTACAGAATTGATAATAGCTTATTGAAGGTAATTAGTCCGAAGTCAAAGTCTGTCGAAACTAAAACTTATTCGCCGATCGGATTTCCGAAGAATCTGAGTTCGCGCAACTTGTACCAACCTATTGCTAAATACGGCTGTCACAGTTATCAACAGTACACTGCCAACAGTGGCGACACTCTTAAGATATTGCAACAAAATTCCCCGTTTTATCACAACGATTTGAAGCAGCAGCAGCAGCAGCAGCAGCAGCAGCAGCCTAAACTCAACGCGTACAAATTCGACGGATTTGATTTGACTAAAGAGATGGCTTTCCCTTCGGGAAGTCACGTTACCGATCGTATTACGGGATCTACGCTAGACAAGGACGCCTTTAGTCACATCGCGAAACAACGACATCATATATCGAAGATGCAGAGCATTCCCGCTGGTATTTCTCCGGGCGATATCATTTTCAATTCGGGAATAATATCGGGACCGAATACTATGAGATCGGCGGCAGCGTTTCCGTCGATGATGTCAGTTCCTGTTTCTGTTCCGGTTCATCCTCTTCCGCGGCTGTTCTCTGCTCTCTATGGAAATAACTTGAGTTTTAGAAACGGCAGCGGCGCAGCCAGAAAGACAGGTCCCTCGAGTATACTACATTTCAATCTCGAGCAAACGTATGAGCAATTTAAGCAATTGGAAAAGGAGCGCAAGAAATGCGAAGCCGGATTGGCCGCGCATTTCCCGGGAAAACGAGTAACCAGCGCGAATAACATACCTATCCCGCGTCTTCAAGGAAATCCATCGAGAGTGGATCGTTTGATAATTGATTATTTGAGAGAGCACGCTCGTGTCATTACACTGATAGCAAAAGTGAGTAAAACTAAATAATGATCTTTTCTCCTTTCCTCCTCTTTTTTCCTTTTCTCTTTTTGCATATCCGTGCGTGTGTTGACACATGTGCTTTGTACGTCAAACTTTCAATTTTGGGAATTTACAGATGGAGCGCTTACGCGGGACCACGATGAATCAACGTGTGCATAAAGCTATGGAATATTGGCTGGAAGCTATCAAATATGTTCAAGAATGTCGCAAGCAAGAAATCACGAACGTTATCAAGCGCCAAAAGGAGAATCCGCATTGCATCTTGGCGTACGATGACAATGGTAAGTATTGCAATCACTTCTGAAAAAGATTTTGATGTTGTAACACGCGTTGATAATCGATTTGATCGAAAGTAAATTACTCGCGAGTAAATATCGCGAAAGAATGTTTTCAAAGAGTTAAAATACTGATAGAGCAACAAATGTTATCGCTAATGATGATGAGCAAAGTCTGTAAACGCGCAGATATTCTAACCTTGGCTGGGAGCGTGCACGAGCTGACGAAAGCATCGCGGTACGCGCGAACGGGTATGTATAATGCACTTCAGGCCACGTTGCTCTATGACTTGGAGATAGAGAAGAACGTCGTCGAGACCTGTAAGGATCCGGTTCTCGAAATGAAAATTCACAATGAGAGTCAAACGACGGACGGAAGCAACGATTACACAAGCAATACCTAGCAAATTTGCATTCAACTACCCACTTGCTATCGCTCATCTTGAAGTAAATCCAGCAGCTTTTTACTTACGTACTTACGTAATTACGTTTTTGAAAAGCTTCCGCTGGTGTTTATTCACTGTTGAAACGAAATGCCGCCCATTATAAATTCAAAACTATCAGTCGCGATACACAAAGTAATTCAATTACGAATGAAATTATAAGACATAAGACGGAGATTTGAAAATGCGCGCAACTTTTTACTGGTTATTAATAACTCCATAGTTTTCTACCGTATGTAAATTTTACTGCTTACGACAGTGTGTAATCGATTTAGCTTTTCGACAGAACGCCGATTTAGATACGAGAAAAAAAAATTTATATATATATATATATATGTGTATATACATATATATATGTATGTATGTATGTATGTATGTATCAATCGTGTTTGAACCGGTGAACACCCGCTAGCTTTGAAGTCGTTGACAACAAGTAACTCGTGACAAAAAGGAGATTGCTCAGATATATTATATCCTTTAGAAGTTGTTCTTCGTACAATTGTCTGTTTGTATACGTATCCTAAGTTATAAACGTAATAGATAGCGTAACAGAAAGCGCCTATGTACTCAATGTACTCGTTCGAAATGTTGAACAGTAACTCGTTAGATTAGCTCAATGTGGCCTTCCTTAAATGTGCGACCCGTAATGTGGTAGTAGATGTTCTAGAATTTGAATATTTCGCCAAGTGTAAGTGCGATATCAATTTAATCGCATGTAACACGAGCTTATATTTATATATATATGTGTGTGTGTATATATATATATATATATATATATATATATATATATATAAATGTTTATAGTACTAACGCAAGAATTTTCGATATCGTTCCGAATAATGTGTATTCTTATACTTGAGAATACAAAAATTTTACGCGGAGTAACCATCTACATTACATTTGTAAGTATTACGCACAACGACATAAAGTTACATCTCTGTGTAAGAAAAAAAACATTTAAAGAGAATCATTCATCCGCATATACGTACATAAGCGTATATATGTGTGTATATATGCGTGTATACACACATGTGCATAAATTTATGTCGTTGCTGTTGTTGATCCTTTTGTTTCACGAATCGCTTATTGTTACTTCTATATCGTACGATATGTAAGAAGAACAACAAATATATCACGATAAAATCGCGGATAATGCCAATTGTGCAAACTTATATTAGATGTTGAAGTAGTAACGAAAGTTTTTATTGCTGCAAAGAATTTATCTTTCCAGATTGTCTTAAAAATATATCTTGTCTTAAAACTATATCTGTGCAAGATAAACAGGTTTAAAACAATTTGGGAATTCGTCGACTATATATTCGTCTCGAGAAACTTGACTTTAATGCGTAATACGTATCAACATGTATATAAGAATTATTTAACTTTTGTTTTTGTCTGTTTTTAAAAGAACATAAAGACTTACGTGTTACCAGAATGATGTGCATTATGAACATCTATGAACGTATGTACAGTTTATATATTACCGTAATACATATAATACATACAATAGATATATGTGACAATCGCATTTATAAACTGCATGCGATATTATGTATTATTGCGAGTTTTATATACGCATGCACGCAAACCGCAGCAAAACAGTATAAATGTGCAGTGTATATACACGTATAAATGAAAAGAGAAAGTTGTAAAAATACGGCCAAAAATTTGACAGAAACTGACCAATATTTTAAAAAAAGCTCGAGACATTATGCTGTCGTGCATATAAAACAAACGATATGTATACATAGACCAAACTCGTTATACTACGTAGATCATTTGGAACGCTTTTGTTGTACGAATATGTTAGAGCTCCGTTTGTTGAAATCTGTTACTATCCGAGTATTCGGATAGTAGAGACTGTGACATTTCAGGTCTTTTTGTACTATGCAGCAACATATATATATATATATATATATATATATATATAAAATTCTTCCTTATGATCATATATTGTACATTAATCAGTTGATAATGTGCGCGCATGCACACTAAGAAAATAACCGAGAAATTATGTGCTGTTGCAATAAATGTTGCATAGTGTAAAAAGCTTTTAGACTCGAATATTAGAACGATAGAATTGAATCTAAAAAAAATCTTAATGAAGCTTAAATACTTGGAATCTCTATCGCAAATTAATAATTAAGAGTTATAAGAAAAGTTAAAAAAACTCTTTCTTTCTATTTTCAAATTTAAAATAATTTAGAACGCTTGGCTATGTATATATTTCGTTACACAGAGTTTAAAATTTTCGGATGTATATTCGAAATTCATATCTCTCGTCGTAGTGAAATCGTGAAATTTTATTTGTTCTCTATTTCGGTACATGAAAGTAATAGTGCTTGAAAGTGATATTTAATCGACAATGGCGTTAGATTGCAATTGACAAGTGATTTGCAATTATTTTTCTAGTTATTTTTCATAGATTGATTAATACGACTGTTTTACATTGGAATAGTTTTAATGGTGGAAGCTTTTATAAACGATCAGTATTTATATTATGTTAAACACTGATGTGAGATATGTTGATTACTTTAAAGTTTTAATGAGTTTGTTGTTATTTGATTTTACTTTTTAATTAGTTGCTCGGTCTAGGTTTTATTTATGCGTCGTTACACAACTACCTTCGTAATAGATGATTTACTCGTTCAATTGTTCCTAAAAAAAAATATAGAGAGAGTCTATTATACGTAAAAACTCGCGACTAGTCGAGTATAAGTACGAAGTCTTTTTCGAGTACTACTTTGTATCACGATTTTTTTGTTCTTCCTAATAATTATTACAACGTCATTCTGAGTTTCAAGCTGACGTAGTAATAGCTCGTATGCTTATAAATTTACTATACAACACACGTACACGTTCAATAGTAATAATTCAATTTTCGGTACCACGTTTCAGATTTACATTGACGTATAATATATTGTAAACTTAAATTTAATAGTAATTAGAACTCGACACATGTGTATAAATACTTTCGCGAAAGAGCTTTCGCTCTGTAAGAATAAAGAGAATAAATAGCGTCTGTACTGATTTTGCATGTATCGTAGTTGATATATATCCGACGTGTAAAGGACAAATAGGCGAGTAATAAAAAGCGAGAAGCAATTAATTATTAAACGAGATGCAATTAAAAGGTAATACTTGCGTTAAAAAAAAACACATTTTATTTCGACGTAAGTATTACCTTTTTATTGCAAAAATCTCCAAGGCCGAGGAGATAAATTTTTGTTTTTAAAAAAACGTTGAAAGAGATTAAATTGATCAAATCTATCACCGGAAATATTATTTCTAAGTGACATACACGAAGAGACACACACATGTATTAATATGTTATAAATTCAGTATATATTCGCTGTACTGTGTATTAGGAATCGTTTTCGCGATTTTCATATATATATTGAAGAAAAAACGTCCGTTGGTCTATACATGTGATTGTAATTACTGGAAATATATAAGAAAATATTATATAAGAAAATATTCGAGAGCTTCGTAGGCAAAGCTAGGGAACAATAATAGCTCTCATACACACACACACACACACACAGACTTTCTTTCATTCTTTTCGCAATTGTAATCACAGAAATGAACAATGAAAGTCTAATGGTGAACTCAGCAGATGTTTAAGCTCCGCTATCGGTCAACGTCCTCAATTATTTATCCGACTGTGTCGGAAATCGCGACAACGGATAGCGACAGAGAGATAGGTCGATTATAATAGATAGTTGAATAAATAGTTCAGTACGCGCGATCTTAGATGATTACGAATAGCGCGAATAAGCTCAGGTCGTGAAGCTTCCTGTTCAACTGTTAACGATGTTAGACACTTAACTACGAATTTCAACAATTCTTCCCGTCGTATTGTTTGTCAATTTTTGTTTTATTTATGTTATATCGCATAAATGTCAAAGAGATTAAAACTATTGCTATTTTATCGAGTTCAATCATATATCCCTTGCGAACGATAAATGAGACAAAACTCGCTGGAATTATAGCGATTATTTGATTGTTTAAAATCGATCAGCATTTCTACGTGATACGAGAAATGGAAAGCGTTCAATTGTCGCTCGGCCGTCTATGAGTAATAATAACGCTATTTTGCCGACCAGTTTACTCGTAATGCATTGCCGCTTATTTTCGACACGATATACCTACTCTGTAAGTAAACGATATATGTGTCTATTTTATGCGAAAAAAAGAGAAAAGCTTGTCAACATGTTTTAGCAAATATCGTTAATCATTTGTCTCAGAGAGATAGTTACGTGACTCGGAAGCCATTTATATACGTTACTTGCGCTCGTATTTCGCACAGACACTAAAAAATACTTGTAATCATAGCGTTTCACAGAAAATCCTCGATTAAACTCGTCGACGTGGTCGTCGTCGTAAAAGCGTAGCCGTTGATGCTTCAATTATTTATACATCAATTAAAGATTGTTACCATATTTTTCATGCGTGGAAAGTTTTCTAAACCTGAACCTTTAAGGTTTAGGAAAAAGTATATAAGCGCTTCTCTCAATGCACTTGAGAAAGTAACTCGTTAACCATATTTACAAATGTAATTGCCAGTAAACGTAAAACTTGTCATTCGTACTTCTTATATATCAATGCTGAATAATCTTGCAACTTTTTTTCACAAACTGCAACATGACTGCATCAACTAATTGATGACTGACCGCGACTTTGCATTTCGGTTTTTTTTTTGTTTTTTTTAACTTGTTACGTCGCGATCGAGAGTTGTTAGAAAAACACGAAAAGTTTGCTATATTTTTCAATTGTTAAACTCTTACTAAAGCAATTAGACTTCTTTGCGGCGCGTCTCGACAAAGGCGACTCTTCTCTTTAACAATCAATCTTTTTTCCATTTCTCCAAATCATAATTCGTAAAGCCGCGAGAAATCAAATTTAACCAAGACAATCGCGTCACACCGCTTTGAGGCGGTACGTGCGTTTAGAATAAGAAAAGACGTTTAAAAAAAAAAAAGAACACAAAACGGTGTAACCGAGGATCGGCCTAGTCACGTCGACGAGATCGAGCGAAGGTGCTCGGTTTGCGGACCATAAAAAACAATACTGTACAACGATTATGCTACAATAATATTTAATGTGTATAAATGAAAACGGATATACGATGGTAAGGTCTCTTGTGCGGTGTATTGTAACACATTGATTCATTTGTCAAATGTATTTGTGAAGCTAATCCGATCAAGAACACGACGCATGGCGAGATCCTTTGTGTTTATATCTCGAATAGCATCAACATCTGATACGTCTGAGAGATGTATAGTTAGCGCGTCAGAATAGTTGAGATACTTTTCTTCAGTACGTGATCTCTACAGATCTATTTTTATACAGTTGCAACACACAAACGATACACGCACGAACACACACATAGAGAACGATAATTTTCAGTGGCAGCAAAATCTCTTTTTAATCAAAACAAAAAAAAACGATATTTTCGTTGAAATGACTAATGTCCTTTGTGTTGTTTCATAAGTTGTTGTGCGAACAACAATCTTAAACTGTCTTATGTCACTTATTATATTGTTACATAATTACAGAAGTAAAGGTATTCAACCATATTCTGATACCGACTATACATATGTGATTTATCTGTTCTTTTTTTATATTTTATTACAAAAGTAATATCTCTGTCGCATTTTTATAACACTTTTCCAGAATAATTGTGTTTTTCTTTTTCTCTCTCTTTCTTTCTCTTTTTTAAGTATATTTACTTTTCTCAAACATAATTCGCATAAGTTTTTCAAACGTTATAGTACGTAAATACGCAAATAGGAATGTAGAAAAAGATGTAGCAAATTTGTTCTTCGTTGTATATTGTATACTTAATTTATACATATAAAGGACACAAGAGAGAAGATTATTACTGTAAAACGTTTTTAATTTTTGTCAAACGACTTCTCTAAACGACTGTTTCACATGTACCTCTTTTTTTTGGTTCGTACGTAGTAAAAAACAATGGTATTATATACAATGTCAAAAATTTATTCAAACGCTACTTCTGCTAGTATTTGTTATTCTGTAGTCTGAAAAGAGCACTGTTTTAAAATAATAATCCATTTATGCTAATTTGATTAATTGCTATCATTAGTGAGTATTTGAATAGTTGAGTATCGCTGTGAGTGTAATTTTTCTATTTATAACCATAAGATTTTTTACTAAAAACTATTATACGATTCTATTTGCGCAATAATACGAACGAGAAAAAATATCACTTGAGAATTTAAGACTTACAGTGCTCTTTGTTAACTTTCAAAGTCTGTCAATGTTATAAAAGAAACAAACGTATTGATGTGTATTGATGTAAAGCATTTTGATATTCTCAATGTTATCGTTGTATTGTCGTCGGTCTCGTCTATGATTGATTTTCTGACCATGACGGTTCGGGCGACAGTTTTATCAAAAAAACAAAACAACAAACATATCGTGAAGGAAATCAGAAAAACACGTGCAATGTTTGCTTAAAAATTACATTGAGATAAATATATTCTACGCTCTTTGTGACGTGTAAAATTAGCCTTAGGAACGGTTAAAATGCTTTTTGTTACGTGGTTTGCGCAGATTTGTTTCTATATAGAATGAAATTATATACTATACATATATATGTATATATGTATGGTATGACAATTTTAAATATTTATATGTATAAAATTGTTGTACGTACATAACATTAAAATTATATAGTAGAGAATAAGTATATGTGTATACATACACATCTCAAGAAGGAGCGATTTATTCTCCGTGTTACATTCTTTCAAACTAAAGAAATGTTATATAATTTGTAATACTAGTATTGGAATTTTTATGAACTTTATCTCTCTTGTCCGACAATTATAGGTATTTTTTCGGTTTACAATTTAAATTTTAGTTTTAACGTATACATGGTAGAATTTCTCTTTTCGTATATTTCACTTTTTCTTGCTCGTTTTGCCAAGTCAAACGCGAAGATTCGTATATTCTTATTCGTAATTATAATATATGTGTGCGTGTATGTATATACATATATATGTGTATGTAAATATATATAATATATAGTGTACTATATCACTTCTCTAAACTTCTTATTACTGCGATACTCGCTCTCATATTCGTAAATAATTATTCTACATAAAGCAAACAACTTGACTAATTTAAATATTTTTCTAGTATTAGTGGACTGATACAAAAGTTGTTAGTATCCTGTGTGCAGTGAATAATTTGATTATGACACTGTTGTTTTAGACTTTGTATACAAAAACATTTAAAACGAAACATTTTGCTATACTAAATTTATCTTTACGTGCACTTATTGTTTGGAAGATGGACGAAAAAGAATGTTTATACATAATTTCATAAAAAAAGGAAAATGGAAGAAATCTTAAAAGAAAAAAAAACATTAATTTATTTGAAACAACCAAAAGTTTAGTCCATTTACAGTGAGAAATATCTGAAATAGTCAATGCATGTGTGAATGTGTTACCGTGAAACATATTTAATATAAAATCGGCCGCGAAAAAAATACCAAGTGCGAAGTCTCGAGGTTTTCCGTGAAACTTCAATGCTTCTAGGCTGTGATTTGTAACGGAGAAATCTACCGCTTTATTATCGAAACAAATGACAATCCTATTCGTCGAATAAAGTTGAGAACGCGAAAGAGAAAGAAGTAAAAGAAAAGAATCACGTATTATGTAATAAAAGCAGAGAAACATTTAGACGCCAATTGGACACGCTTCTTCTTTGTTTTATTCTCTGTCTAGCGCACATTCGCAATATTATATGTCTGTATTAAAACATGTTATCGATATATGTGATTCTTATTTGTTTCGTGTGAAAAAGGTGAAGTTTTATCAACAATAAAAAAAGAATTTAAAAAAAAATAAAGAGTAAGAAGACAAATACGAAAGTCTCGGGATGGTGCGTAGGACGTGAGGAAGACAAAGTGAAAAAATATATGAGGACCTTTTGTTTAACGCTTTATCTTTCACTATGTAGTACTGATGACTACGTACTATATATCGTGCTAACAACTTGCACGATACGGGACAGTGTACTAATAATACTAATAATAACAATACGTGAATAATGATATATATCTTTAAATAGGCTGTGGAAGAAACTCTTTATATAATTTGCATATATACATATATATTAAATCGGATCCTTCCGTTTTTTCTCTTTGTAGAAGGAGAAAAACGGGCGTCATTTGGAAGCGCACTTGTCTTTCGAGCGTGTGAAAGTTATTGTCCTACTGTTTTGTCACACAACGATTACCTTGCACAAAACGTACCTAATTATACATACATATTAATAGTAGGATTCGCCATAATGATTGTCAATAACATATTGTACCTATTGTATTCGTCTCTCGCGGGCAGATTGTACCGAGTTATAAACTATAAATATCTGATCTGATCTGAGAGGAAAAGATATCTTCGGTGGATCAAAACAGATCCGTTCTCCTACTGTGTATAATGCCGCTGCTTCGAGAAAGTTTCGGAAACTTTTTGAAAGAACAAACTTGTACTTTTAATACTATATGAGTTATAATGATTTTTTCGCGTATATTCAAGTGTGCAACTATGCAAAGGCGTGCGATGATCATGTTGCATTAATCTTTCGTGAACGAATATCGAAGTAGCATGGCATAGATGCGTAAACGTTTATATCAATCGCGTAGATGTAGTTTCGCTAGGTGAAACAAAGAAACGATGTTTTAGATTCTCTTGCTCAAACGATCGTTTTATTTCTAACACCAAAAACGACGTGCAGTTAAATGCATACTGTCTTTGGCTGAAGTGTAGCACGAAAAACGTGGACCATTCTATGCACTCGATCGCGATACACGCGCGCGCACACACACACGCACACACACACACACACACACACGAGATAATCACAAAATTTCTATGTCTACTTAATCTTGTAATTACTTTAATGGTAAAATAATTTTATGATAATACACACAATGTGTGTGTGTGTGTGTGTGTGAACAACTCTCCCCTGTATGAATCTTTTTTATAAACTCCTGAGTGAATATACATATTTATAGACGAATTATGTATATAAGTATGTATATGTATAAAAAGTAGGTTTTTTTTTTTTTTTTTACCTCTGATGAGTGAAATTTATAATACAAAAACTCTTAAATACTGGCAAATGCTATTTTACATCGCATAAATTGTTGTCAAGATATATTCTAAAAAGAAAAAACTGATTATTATGTGACTATGAAAATCTACGTATGTGCAAGAGAGTATATATGTAATTTATTTATTTGATTTATTCCTAACATATATTATTATCTTTGTTATTTGATATTTCTTGCAATATAACATCGTGACAGAGCATTGCCAAAGATGAGGATTCTTTAGCAGATGTACACAATCACTCCGCGCTGATGCTTAAGAATTAAACAGATGCAACAAACATTTCTGAATTTGTGTGTGTGAAAGTTCAGAATGACTAGCAAGTTTTATGTGTCGCGAAGTTGAGCATACCACGTTTTCACAAGAGCATAGTTGTAACAAGTATGTAAACTTGAGCTTAATATACTCTCGTATCGAACTCCTGTTTGTACTTTACTAGTTTATTAAACGAATCGCGTTAGATTAAAAATTAGAAGGAAATTAAAAGAAAAATTGTATTTAATGCACGTTTCATTTTAAGCTTATTATTTTTTTCTCCGAACAGTGTACGCTTATTTACGTGTACACGAATATACATACACGCACACATATAAAGAGTACATCAAGAGTACATGTATGAATGTCAGTAGCAAACGACGCGTATTCACAAGCTTTCGCTTGGAGAAACGTTTTAGTAATTCTGATAGAGATCGTTTTAAATTTCTGATAGAGATCGTCGTGCGAGCGTAATATATTCGAGCAACACTACAATAATAATAATTGGCAAAAGCTGATCGTTTATTTTCTTTGGTTACTTTGTCCAGATTTTGGTATGTTCGAATATAAAGTAACAGTATAAATATATTTTACTCAAAGTGTCCTTCCTATGTAAATTTACTTGATCGTTCTTATGAATTATAAATAAACGGTATCTTTCATGTTCAAGTATTTTTCGAGTTTGCTTATTATAAGACCTACCTGTAAGTATATTATTATCTTAATTTATATACACAAGTTCAAGAAAATTTAAGATCAATACAATGTACTTGTGTTCAATAAAACATTTGATAAAAATTTATATTTTAACTTTTTATTGCAGATAACGCAATACTTAAAAATGACCAGTCCAACATATAGATAAATATACATCATAAAAAAAATAAATTATAATTTTATAGTTAAATTAATTTAATATTATTGTACTTAAAAAAATATGTGTGTACATATATTATCTACTTTGCTATATTTATATTTATATATTATATTCCATTGACAAATCAATTTTACAAATTTGCACTCTTATATACACGTACAAATTTTAAACTATTTTTTTGTTTTTAATCAAATTTACATACATATATATATGTAGCTTGTAATTGTGTTAACGATATTGTGGACAATGCTGCTTTATTATCGACTTTGATACATCTGCATGACCTGATATTTAAAGAAAAAGACTGTATTATTTCATAATAATCCAATGGTTTGGGATAAACTTTGTTATAATTTTAACAAAATAAATATTACCTAATTGTAATTCTATGTACAAGGCTAGCATTATCACTTGTACAGGTATGTCGCAGTCTGGCTCTTTCGACATCCACACCTGAAAAATAAGTAAATAAAAAACATTAATTAATAAAAAGAAAAAAAAACAATAAAAAGTTTATCACTTTTTTATACAAGTATGTAATATAAAACGAATTAAAATCATTTTGATGAAAAATATAATTACCTGTTTCAACATTTCTCCCGCCTTGTCTAGTTCACCTCGTATAGCGTAAGCTACAGCTAAGTTGTAACGAAATATAGCAATACCGGTCGAAACTGTTGTGGGGTACCATGCTAGAAGTAGGAAAAAACAAGGAATTTTTAGTATCTACACATTGAAAATATAATGATGATGATGATGATGATGATGATGATGATGATGATGATGATGATGATGATGATGATGATGATGATGATGATGATGATGATGATGATGATGATGNAAAAATTACCTTTTATAGGTTTTTTTACGACTTCTTCCACTTTTTCTTTATCCTTTTCTTGATCTGGCACGGATATAAATGTATTTAAATCTTGATGATGATGATGATGATGATGATGATGATGATGATGATGATGATGATGATGATGATGATGATGATGATGATGATAATAATAATAATAATAATAACGATAATGCTATAAAAATCAAACAAAAATTACCTTTTATAGGTTTTGTTACGACTTCTTCCACTTTTTCTTTATCCTTTTCTTGATCTGGCACGGATATAAATGTATTTAAATCTTGAAGATTTTCTGGTTGAAGATATTCAAGTGCTTCGCTTATTTTGTCCATAAAAATCAAACTTTCTGCGGCGTATAAGTTACCTAACATTTTATAAGCTCCAGGCAATTTACTGAAACTTAGTAATGCCTTTGAATGTTCAAGAGAAAGTATATAATCTCCGAGACATAAAGAGACGTACGCGCTAGCTGCTAATACACTAATTTTTAAATTAAAAGATTCGACACTCGTAGCTTGGGACATTAATGTTGCATGTTGAACGCCTGAAAAAACCATGTAAAATAAATCACATGTTGTGTGCATATATAATGCAGATTAAAAATTAAAATTTATACCTAGATTATGATTTGATGATAATAATGATGTTTGTGTTACAGTTGTTATAGGTANATTTGGCTCACTATTGCACGGTAGTAAAAATAATGCATTTTTTAGACATAAAGACGCAAACTCCAATGTTGGCTGAGGAATTGCATAAGATAGTCCTTCCGAATGATAAACATTCTTTGAAAGACGTGGAGTTAGTATAATTTTCTTGTGGATACCAGAACCTATAATATCTTGTACCAAATCTCTGCGTCGTTTTGGAATATCAAAATCAATTTCATTTGACTAAAAAGTAAGCAATATAAATTGCATTCTTCTTAAAGCAGTATATACTTTCACATCTATTAAGTGTAACTCTCCGTTATTCAGAAAATAATATATCGATTTTTATGCCATCTGCGTAATCTAAAATTTCTTATAAAAGTATCCTACATCTTTAAACAATAAATAGTTAAAATGCCCCTTTACTTACATGTTTATAATTATAGATACAACATTCTGCCATTCTGAGCCAAACTTTAGGATTATTGTGTAACATTTGTGCTGCTTCTGTGAAGCATTCAAAAGCTATTGATATTTTGCCAGCATGTAACTTGGATACCCCCAAACTGTACATCAACTCGTAATGTTTATTTCCACCAAGCGTGTATAACGGTTGACAAGACAAAGGATCTATGTGTGCAATAATTCTTTTTAATATTAATAATTGTATGTACAATAAATAAAATAAGTAAATAATAAGTAAATAATATAAAAGAAGTGAATAAAAAAGTAAATAATAATAAAATAAGTAAATAATAAATTAAATAATAATCATTTACTTATTTTATTTATTGTATATACAATATTAATTTATCAGTTTGTTGAGATACATTCACATATACGATCTTGGGTGGTGGTCAAATATATAGTTTTCAAATGTATAGTTTTACAAAGTTTGTGATAAAATTAATAACTGTTTAACAACCGAGAGAGTAAGAATTACCTATGTCTTTGACTTGCATGCTCTCTACTGCAGTTTTATTCTCTTTCAGTGCTTTTGTGAGATAAACACCGGCCAAATGTGGCTTACCCATTGCAAGATGCAAGCATGCTATATTGTTATAATAGAAAACCGCTGAAGATTCTCCGCATACTCTACATATAAAATACATTAAAGAAATTTTCTTACATTAAAGAAATTTTAGAAAAAATTTCTCTTTTGTTTTTTAATTCTGAATCTTAATACAAAATCTATGCAATGCTAAGAATTTATAGAGTACATACAAATAAATTTAAATATAACATGCTACTAAATTTTATTTAACATATAACTTACTTGAAATCCAAATTTTCAATTGATGTAGAATTTAATATTTTTATTGCTTTTTTATAATTTCCTCGCAAGTATTCAATGTTAGCCTTCAACATAATTGTAGAATTGTTCTGAAAATAATCAATGTTAAATATTACAACACAAACGCACAAAAAAAAGAGAAAGGTAGATAATAAATAACATTACCACTGGTGTTCCCAATGAAACTAATGTCTTCCACTCTTTTTTACAGAGCTTTAGTTGATGTGTAAGAAGATATATTCTTGCTTTACATTTTAACAGTTTTATCTTGAATGTGTTATTTGCTATATCGTTAATATCTTTTTTCTGTTCTTTTTGCTCTGTTTTAACAGATTTTATTACACTCTCTTTGTCAACAGATAGTTTACAACTATCCATAGATATAAATTGACTCTCTACGTAATGTAATATTGACAGAGCAGAATCTGGTTGCTCTGTTACTAAGTATAATTCGATCAACAACAGACAGACTTTGTGCGCTAAACTTTCCTCTAGGAAAAAAGCAAAATATTAAAGTTTTGAAAGATAAAAGATCAAATCCAGTATTTTCAATTAACTTAATCAGTCAATCATTCTGAGAAATTAACCCCAATCGTGATTGACATTTAATCAGCTAATTAAGTTCATTAGATATGATAAAACTGGTCTAAAATATTAAAATAAATTTTAATTAACTTTTACAGTTTAGGTTGATTTTTGGATAATTTTTTGAGTTTTTGAGCTATAATTTGTTCATGTATAGCAAAGAATATAACAGTAAACATTTAGCTTACAGAATTTAAAAGTTAAGGAATAAACCAGCTTAAATGATATAAGTATTAACAATTTTATTGTTCTTAATATTCTTTATTAACTAACCATATTTATTATTTATCTAGTTAAAATTATATATAATATATTTACCCATAGGCTCGATAAAAGCAAAAAGTCTAATCATGATCTGTAATGCTGCCTGATATTGCTTGGTATGATAAAGTAACACAGCTTGATTATATCTCATGACACATTTTTCAATGTCATCAATAGTTTCATTATAATCTGTTGTTGATATTTGGCCACATATAGCATTTAAACTTTTTCGCATCAATTCAGTCTTTCTCAATTCACTTTTATAATATTCTACAACTACCTTGTTGTGAGTAATCTTGAGATCTGTTGGTCTAAGGCTTTCCAACTTACTTAACGCTGTTAAGCAAGAGGAATAGAAACCTTTTTCAAATTCTGACAATGCATTTTGAGCCAAATCACGTTCCTGCTCCGTTATAACAGAAGTGATGTTATCTTTACTTTGTGATTCTAAACTTTCACTCATTGTGGCACATGTAATATTCGCTTTTCAAATAAATTCTAGATTTCACAAGTCATCAAATTCCTACACAAGTTCTCTATTTGAATTTAATGTTTTATAATTTCTTGTTTTTTTCAAGAAGTAAAAAAGTTATGACACATGTACTTACAGTATAGTTGAGTTTGAGTTGTTAATGGCTCTCGAGCTTTAAAAATCCACTCATACGCCATTCTTCAATTGTTTATGTTTCAAGTATTACCAATTTCAAGTTTCAAGTCTCAAGTCTGTTTCACTGGATTTATAGTTTTAGCAGAGAGAAACCTGAGAGCGGCCATCCTATTGTAATTTTTTACGACGGTTTCAACCGCTGGTTTTAGCCGTATTTCCACAAAAGTGGAACTCAAAGGCCGTTCTACATTAAACGCAAGTAGTAGATCTCGTGGAATTGACCAATTGCAGAGTCAAATCAGCCAATCGACCAACGTGATTGATCAGTTCCACGAGACCTGCTACTTGAGTTTCATGGAGAACGGCCTTTGAGTTCCACTTTTGTGGAAATACGGCTAAAACCAGCGGTTGAAACGTCGTAAAAAATTACAATAGAATGGCCGCTCTCAGGTTTCTCTCTGGTTTTAGATGAAATCCAAACCACTATGTTGTTCCTGGTTAGGTTATATTATAAAATATATAGCTGATGGTTTGTCCAATACTTATTGAAAGCCCGACACCTTACATTTTGTCTTTCATTCGATATATATGCGATCTCTGCAATCGGCAGAAAAAAAACCGGCTCGGAAAAAATCTAGATACTAGGCGAATTTAAACTCGAGACCTCCAAGTTTGCAGCTCTTATACTACTTAGGGATAACTTAGGGCCGGTTGTTCCACCTTTCGATAAATCTCAGTTTACTCGACAGGTTATTATCTATAGGATAAGAACTTGACTAGCGCGTCTTCCACTGTTTTTTATTTCTACATATTTATCTGTTAGATACGACTTACACGGTACCGAGAGTGCCGTGTAATTTATCTTTTGGTTTTTGGTCATTTACCAGATATACAAATTTTAGCGACACGTGGAACAACGCTTTAATCATTAGGTAGATTACCCGATAGTTTACCTGAAAGTGGAACAACCGGCCCTTAAAGTATATAAAGTATATATAACCTATTGAGAGAAAAAAAAATTTCTGTTTCAAAATGCTTTCTGTGTGTTTAAGAAATTATTCTCAACTTTCTGTTACAAAAAAGTTTAATATTATTATTTAATTCTATTTTGTTATTTAAATAAAAAAATGATAGAAATAAGTACATACATGTTTCTTGTTAGGGCTAAAGCCCCTTGCACAATGGAAGGAATAGCAATAGCGATAGAAATAACAGTTTTTAACACAGAATTCCAACTCATCGGAAATTTTATCGCTATTGCTTATTCCGATTTTCTGATCTGCATTGATACATGTGTAGTTTTGTATGTTAAATTCCGCTGTTCCTACCTTTATTTTTAAATATAAACTCTTTAAAACTTTTGTTATTTCTATCGCTATCGCTATTCCGTCCATTGTGCAAGAGGCTTAATAGAATTGTACACATATATTACATATTATATACATATATATATTTTTGTGTATACATATATATTTCTATTTTTATATAAAAAGTTTAGTTTGGTGCAAAGATGGCTCTCTCAGAAGCGTGTTATATTTATAGTCCATACGCCATTCTAAAGGTACCTTTTCGTACACGCTGCGGCAGTAAAACGTCACGTGACTCAAATTTTCTAGGACTGCTTCCGCTAGGTATATTTGCTGCTGTTCAAATGAACAAAAGCAGCAAAACCGGGAAAATTTTATTGATAGTTGATACTTATGCAATAACTATATAATTCCATCAACAACAAAGAATGGCATCGAATGAGGGTTAGGTAAGAGCAGCAAATATAACTAGCGGAAGCAGGCCTAGAAAATTTGAGTCACGTGACGTTTTGCTGCCGCAGCGTGCTGCTGTATGAAAAAGTACCTTTCTAATTATATAAATTTATGTTATATTTCATTTTTTCGCATTGTGCATTACGTTTAAGCTCTGTTTTTTATTCCTATTTCTAATATTTTTTCTATTATGCTCAGGCCCTTACGTATCATTGTACGACAATCTAATGATCATTAATTTTTTATTTTTTTCTTGAATCTTCTCAAATCTCTTTTAAAGTTTTTCAAGTAATTACTAATTTAATGAAATTTTTCTAAATTTATATATACATTGTGTTATTATAATTTATTTTAATTGTCATGCCGTTAACGGGACATCGTTTTAATTGAAGCGGAAACATTTCCAAAGACCATAGCGTGTCTCCCAGTCAACAAAGAACAGTTCTGGTTTACTACAAAGAGTGTGATGCAGCGCAAAACTATATTGAGACTGAATAGGAGGATTGAAATGCGGTGCCCATTGCGCTCTATCTGTTACAATTCTGTTTACATAATTGTAGAACACCTTGGCTTTATGTATCCAACAGAGGAGAGACATAATAGAAACAATTGTGGCGTGAATACGACATGCCAGTTCTATATGATTTTGCCATTGGAAGATGATTTCCTGCAAATTCATAGCGAGACAGACTAAAGCGGCAGCTGTAAAACCGCAGGGTACCTCGATTGCAATCAGACATACTGTACGATACGTCGTTTCCAGATTCATTATTGAATCCTTATGGTTTACTAGACTCTCTAACAAACTGTCGTGCAACAGCTCGCGGTTCAACTTAAAAAACAGCAAATCTTCCTCGAGACAGGATGTAACGTGCAGATCAAGACTCGTGTGCTCGAAAAAAATTCTTGGAGTATCAAAGATCATCCGATTGTTATTACGATCTAGCAAAAATTGTAGTACTCTGTTGCCTAGCAAACTAGTCAATCGACTATGCGATCTTACCATCTGCATCAGCAGCGGAAAGATTGCCGGCGTGAGCGACTCTTCGTATAGGTCTACTTGATGCGTATAAGCGGTGTATTCTAGCGTGCTACCAAATTCTAGAACAATTTCGTCAGTTGTGTCTTCTGCAATCGTCCAGGAACACATGTGCTGTATGATTATCAATAGTTTAGCGTTCGGCAAGTTCTTTATGACGTTCAACAAACAAACCTCTAGACCTTTCTTGAAGTTTGCAAGCGGCATTGAAAACTCAGTGGCGAGTGATTGCGTGTCAATTATGCTAGCATGAAAAAGTTCAAGCAGTCTTTTTATCGCTATTATTGTTTCGCTCGTATCCGGCCACTTGTATACTTCCAGCAACTCGCATAGTATTCTAAGGACACCGCGAGCTTCGGTAACGTCGATCTCTGGCAAGAGCAGTTTATCGCAGATCCTGTGAGTGAATAATGCACCGCTAGCTGAGTTAATGTCTAATAAGCTGCAGATGACTTCGAAACAAAACGTCTCGAACTTCCAAAGCTGATCTTCATAGATTATTTCTACCATTGTCTCTACAATCTCTTTTAAGTTTTTGGACAGATAAATCCTTAACAGAGAATGATAACAATCGCGAGCAACTTTGAATTTTCGTCGACGCTTCCACTGGCACAGTCCGTCTGCATGTAAAAGATCTTCATAATGTAATAAAATCTTCAGTAAACATTTTATGAGCAAGCGATAATCGCGAAATTGCAATTGCTTTGTTGTCGCATTTCTGATGATTTGCGTGATATTATTCAGAATTTTATCTCGTTCTATTGAAGAAAGTAAGGAACTTTCAAAGAGGTCGTTTATTCTCTGCGTAAGTTCTTCATCGGTAATCATTGACGCTTCCTAAAATCGTTACAAAACTTGTTAAAAGTCTGAAGAGCAAATATAAAAACACAACCACCAGAGCTTTTTAAAAAAAAAACGAAATAAAGTTATTTTCTAAAATTTTTATATTCAAAAGAAAGAGTAATAAAATGTGTCAATAAAAAATAATATAAAAAGAATATGAAGGTGTATACACAAATCTTCCTTCTTTTTTAATAAAAAAAAAAAAGCATCACAAGTTATGTATACAGATTACAATCTTGCTTTTAATTTTTTTATGGAAGATTATAATAGAGACAGATAAAATTGCAGCTTTTGATATATATAAATCAATTATATCTTTATAAAAGATATTATTAGCAATGTTTTTTTTTCAACATCACTTATTGCTTATAATAAATATAATTTTGTTTTTACATAAACGTAACATATTACATAAGTGTTCAAAATTTTTAACGTTGAGATATATAAACAAAAACAATGATTTATTCTATATATACAAAATTTGTTTATGTATGTATATATATATATATGTATGTATGTACACACTTGAATTGTGTGTACGTATATGTGTATGCGCATACGTAAATAAGAAGAGTAAATGATAACTTCCTAAACTATTCAATCAATTTTGTTACAAGATAAATTTGTATATATATATATATATATATATGTGTGTGTGTGTGTGTGTGTGTGTGTGTGTGTTTGTACAGACCCATATTTATAGTCGTTACTTGAATCTCATTTCAAGAGCTATATAAAAAAACATACATATATATTATACATATATTACATTGTACATTATATATAATGTAGAATGTAATATATGTATTTAAACATTATTTATTAGGTTGTTTGAGAAGTAGTGGTTTTTTAATGAAATTTAAAAGCTTATTGTATTTACTCGCATAGACTGCGTTATTCACTGTCAGTACTCAAAATCTATAATTTATGTGACATATATTATAGATCTCGTTTTGAATATTGGATGCAGCCATAATTTGACTTCTGGAAATATTTTGTAAATACGGTGCTGTTCGATATGCTTAGTATCTGCGTAATGTTTCGAGTATATATTGCCATCTATGACAATGCCATTTATTGAAAAACGCTGCGAACTTTCCGAACAACCTGTAATATATATCATGGAATCAGAGTAGATAATAGTCGAGTTCAACAAAATCGAGCATATAATAAACGCTTTGTCATTATTACTTTGTTGTGTCACTGACATATACTTTCACATTTATAAATCTAGATGAATAGGCTAACCCCACAGACAAAACGCTAAATTCTTTTGAACACGGCCATTATGTAATTTCTAAAAGATACCGATACATATCCAGACAAAATTCTCAAAATCGAGTCGTATCTTTAGTAGTACTAAGAAACTACTCAAGTCATAAACTGACGTACATTCAATTTCTTTCCACGAATCGACGAAGAAACAAGTAAAACCGCAACTATAAATGCGGATCCATTTTTAATTGTTTAGTTTGTTTTGTTTAACATGTTCAAAATATTGTTTTCTTACATGTTTTTATAACAAAGTAGCAAAACATGCTTAGAACCATAAATCACCCCCGACATCCTCATCCGGTTGTTGTAGATGCTGCTGTTGCTGGTTCTGTTGTTTAACGACGCTCTCAGTGTCATCGTCACTTTCAGAAACGGCCAAATCGTCTTGAATTTTATTTTCGCTTTTCTCGTCTCTGGCCGGCAAACCGGCCAATAGAAAATCTGACGGGTCGTAATTTGGATCAACATCCATGCTCTCATCTGCGAGTGAAAGGTCGAAACATGAATTATAAAGTTTTGCAAACGATTAGTTCTACCGATATCTCGAATTAACACGATAAAATAGTGCGATTTAATATAATCTTTTTATGTAAAAAGAAAAAAAAACCGATTCTATGGTGTTGCATTTTTTTGTTTTTATTATTACCTACCTTGTTGAAGAAGCTGTTGTTCACCTACATAAAAACCGACATTGCCTAATTGCACCATTGCTTCGGCAGCCTGTTGACTGTCATCATCCGCTAATACGACAGCTTCTTCTCTGACTTCGCCCAACTCCAGTGTCTCCATCTCGTTTTGCTCGGAATGTTCATCCGTATTAAAAGGTACTTCATCAAATTCATCTTCACTAGAGAATTGAAGATCTGCAATAAAACAAATTATATTAAGTAAATACACATATGTGTGAGTTAGAATATTATTATATTGCTTTACCTTCTTCGAGTACATCTTTTTTCTTCGAATTTCTATCAATTTCCATGTCTCCTTCTACATCTACAAAGTCGAAATCGTCCATATTCGACTTGTTAAATGGATTTTCCGGAGAACTAGTTTGGCTCTAAAGAACAAATATTAATGACATAAACAATGTAAGTAAATTATATCTACCAATATATACATCAAAGATATATTATTGAAAATTATTATTTAAAGTGTAAACTTTTATTAAGAAACTTACGCCTCTGAATTCAGGTTCCGCAATAGTATAATTTTCCTCATCTGGGCCGAGCCATGAGGAATCGATATCGGCTTGTTCCATTGCACGCTTCTGTACAAGTAATATACTTTTCTCTAGTTGAGTTAGATGTTCATCATACTAAAATCATAGAAAGTACACACTTGTTAGCACTTGCAATTTTTTACTTCAAGATTCATACTTTTTATTTTTAAACAATTATGACTTAAGGCTCGTTGAAATTAAAACCAAGAAATATATAAAGCCTTACGAGCCTTATATATATATATACACGTAGTTTCCGCTCAACATCCTGGGAACGGCTCGTAAGGCCTTATATATTTCTTGGTTTTATTTTTACTCTAGCAAATATTCTTCACAAAAAGCTCAATTAGTATATATTAATGTTTGTACCTCGTCTAATGTCTCTTTACACACTTTGACTAGCAACTCTGCCTTGTTTGTAAGCGGAGAATCTTTGCCGTTATAAAGTATACAATTCTCCAAAATTTGTTCAATATCTTTGAGAAAATCGTAACGACTGTGATATTTATGCGCTGGAAAAGTTTTAAGAATAAACGCACACATATTAGATTATTTTTAAGAAAGAAAATTTTCTATGTACAAAACGCATACAGATATACACAAAAAAGAAGAATAAAGAATTAAGTTTCTTACCAGCTACTTTTTTAGATATTGTTTCTAGATCCATCGGCCTTTTGATAATATTATAATAGTCTTTCACCATCTTTTTATTGACGGGCTTCATAAACGGCCATACTTCTTGCATAGATTTCAACTTGTTATTAATGACGTTTTCCAAAATAAACGTAAGAGCAACTTGATCATCATCATCAAGAAGAGGATTGATGGCCTTTTCCAGCCTCATCAAACGATCCTCTTTCTCACCAAGTCTTTCGACACACGTATCCAACATTCTTTTAGCAGCCACAGTTAATGAACTCTTAGCTCCGTTATAAAGCGTTGAGTTTTCTACGATTTGATTAACATCTGCCAAGAACTCTTCTCTACTCTGATATTTCTTCTGCCTTAAATTGTCTCTTATAGTCTGTAGATCCATAGGTCGATGAATGATCTTGTGATAATCAGGAACAACCTGATGTAACGAGTATACGATAAAGCATTAGAATTTACATTATTGTTACACATAAAAAGTGTACCTACATTGTAACTTAATAATCTTTTCATTCGATTTGCGATGTATAGATATAAATCTTTTATATGAGAAGTTTTTTTTTAGATTTATATTGCTGAACACAATTATAATAATGTAAGATGATATTTGTGTTGTGATGCAAGATGATCTTACTTTGGCGTTAACGGGAAACAAAAACGGCTGCACATCTGGAAGATCTCTCATTTCGTTCAGAATACTTTCCAACATCGTTGACATTACGACAACCGGATCCGTTCTACGCCTGTTAACTGGTCTTTGATGTCGTTTCAAGTAATCACAATGATCATCTGTGGGCGGTTTCCTGCGTTTTTTTGAATTTACTGCCTCTTTAGGTACTTTGAGAAGCAATGTGCGTCTCTTCATCTCCTCAGCGTGCTAAAATAAATGAAACAAATTTTTTTATTGCAATCTTTGAAATAATTTTTAAGTTATTTGCCTAGATTCCTCCAATTGAAAGAAATGAATCTTACAAAAAACGAGATATAAGAAATAAGAATTGAATGCAGAGGTAAAAATTGTTAACAACATTTACCTTGATCAATTTTGATGACAGCTTTACCTTGGTGCCGTCAACATTTACTAAATCTTGATCATCAGTATTTAGCTGTTTCTCAATCTCCTCTTCTTGTTCCTCTGTCATTGCGACATTAACGGGTGCCGTGGTGATGCTGTTTTGATAAAGCGGACATGCTTTGTTGGTTCGCATATGACCGACGTTGCCACAGGCCCCGCACTTGAGCTTAAGATCTGGCTTAAGTTTAGGCTTTTTACGTTTGGGAACAGATGGTTCTGGTTTAGTATGTTTAGACGCGGAAGTAGAAGAGGATTGGAAATTACAGAATGGAAGGATACTGGTCGAGGAAGTGGTTGTTGGAGTATTAGTGCCGCTACGGTCAAACGTACTGTTGTTGTTCGAGACGTTAATGGCGTTACCATTTATAACCGCCGTCCCGTTACCACCCAACATACGATCTCTTTCCTGATTCCTCTTGATTCGCCGCAACTGTTCTTGAATTCTGCGTTTCTCCCGTTTCATCTCTTCTTTCTGCGCTTCGTCCAACGTCGCAAATTGCTTAATAAACGTTTCATCTTTTGAGTTACGAATCTTGATGTACGTGTCAATTACCGCGGGCTTTCTGACTATTTCAACTCGCGTAAACTCTTTGCCTTCCGGATTCCGGAAAGTACGATAGATCTTTAATACGCGACCCTGTTGCGCATTGAAGTTGTTTACCGGACTGTCATCTTCCTCATCCTTTTTTTTGCTCTCTTTGCTCTTTTTATTATCTTGCTCTTGAGCCTCGTCTATCAACAACTTTCGCAACTCGTGTCGCTGTTGCTCCTCTCGTTCTAGTGACAGTTGCGTGCTAGTCTTCTTGTTCGACAGCATATTTTCGATGTTTTTACCCATTTCTTCGATATCGGAACTATCCTCTTCCGAACTTTCACCTTCATCTGTACTCAGCACTTCATTCGATGCCAGTACGCGGTTTTGCAAGTCAAAGATGCGCTGGCATTCCTCCTTATAACGCTCCTGATGCTCGGCGATGGAAAATCTATTGCCTCGCGAGAACTTGGTCATACCTTCTTCGCCGGCCTTTGCCTTCTCCGTCGACAAAGTTCGCACCACATCGATTACTTCCCAACGAGACAGCTTTTTAATTTCTTCCTCAGGTACGCCAAATTTTCGTAGCAATGCTTTTGCATTGTTTAATGACAATCTCCTCAGATCTGCATCTGTGCCAGTCACAGTTCTCTTTGGTTGAGCCTCTTGCTCCTCCTATCAATAAAAAAAATGAAGTTTTTTGCACTGACTATTAACTAAATTGAAAATTATTTATTTTTAAGAAATATTATCATTATGATATGTTTCTTCAAAGTTATTGAAACAAACCTTGCTAATAGTAGGCTTATTTGGCACTCTAACATATGAGAAACCTTCGCCACAGCCGGTAGGATCGGCAGGACCGGCTAATTGTAGTAGACATTTCCCCTTCATGGCTTGAATGTAGGCACGCGTTGTATTCCATGGCGCCACTTTCACCTCGTCATCCATCTTAAGCTGCATATCTTCATCGTCATCATCCTGCGGAGTGAATAAAAATTTCTCGCCGTATCCGGCATCTTTCAGACGTTGCTCAGCTGCTATCATGCTGAAATACGCGCAACATTGTTCGGGCGACACCATTGCGCGGATTTCCTCTTCCGTTGGCAATCTAAAATCCGGTTTTATCACCCACCAGTTGGAGTCCATGCCTATCTCGTGTGTAAAAACAATGTTTATATGTATTATTATGTTAGTAATAATACATTTATAAATTTGCGAGGAAACAACACATATGTACAAGAAAAAAAAAAAAACAATTTTACTACTTAAGCCGTTGTACATTACGTACCGGTTCTTTTAAAATCTGCACATAATTTTAGTCTCTTTCTAATACTGCTCTCACTGTGAGATGGAAAAGCTTTTTTTATGTCATCCATTTTAATCCGTCGCGGAGTATCACGCGATTTCCAGAATAGCCGATATATAAAGACTTGCAAGAAGTCTCGTACAAAGTTGTTTGCTCTCTTCGAATTAGGTCCTGGCACTTCATAGAGTGGACATTCTTGTCCAGCAACAAATAGTGCATCAACTTCTCTAATGTGATATTGTTGTCTGGAAAAGAAAGAGATTATAGGTCGAAAAAAACAATCTTAATTAAATAAATATGTAAAATATAAAGTAAATTAAAAAAAAAAAAACAAAAAAATGTAAGAAAATAAAGATAAAAGACATAAGTTATTGATCGTAATACCTCGTTCGTATAACCAGGAAATCGGTATCAGGAATTTTATGCTCGTAGATGGGCGCACGGTACATATTGTTTTCGATAGCCTGAATACTTTGTCCGGGCGTAAGAATACCGAGGAAAGGGCTAGTGTGAGCGTATGCCGTTTCGCCATATCGATATGTCTGTGGACCTTGATCTTTGCCAGCTCTCCTTTTGTAATAATTCTTCACTTTAGAGCACATACCGACCTGATTCATAAGCGGCGGATGTTCCTCGGAGAATTCGATGAGAACCAATTCACCGTCCCTTCCAGTCAAGTCCTCAGGTGTCCTCATAAAGAACACGTCACCTCCACCGGAAGCAATTCTCTCTTGTTCGCGTTGCTTTGCTTTCTTTTTAATGTGCTTCAGCAGAGGCGAGACACTGTGAGGTCCTGGAAGAGCTAATGGACCATGACTAAACCTTCGTAATGGCGGTCTGTGAAAATTCCTCAATCGCATTGGACCCATGTGTGTTTGTACAAAAGGCACACGTAACTCCACTACAGGAGTGCTGTGTTGTATCAAGTTGCCACCACCGACCTTCAGCCTCAGAGTAGTTTCCGAAGATTTCGGCATGTAATACGTATCATTTGATATGTTGAACGGATCTCGGTCGGGCGACTTTGGGGGTGGTGGCGGAGTGTCCTCTTCGAGAACATTAATAACACCTGCTTTGCCTAACAATAACTTGCTCTTCTTCACGTGCGGATGCGGAATCTTTACTTTAGGTTGAGGACCGTTATCTTTGTGCAGAAGAGCCGGATCGATATCATCAGGTATGCCCAGAATTATATTCTCATCATTTGGGTCTAACGTAAGAATTTTTGGCTTCGGAATTTTTTTCATGTTCTCTGGATCCCAAATGACTTCTTCTTCCCACAAACCATAGACCAGTTCTTCGTTTTCCACAGGGAATATAGAGTACCAAGTGTCGTCGTAATTTTCCTCTCGCTGCTGCTGCTGATTTCCTTTTCCCATATTAATCTTATTCTTCTGAGACTGCATGTGCAACGGCGTGGTAATTTGTGAAGTAGCTAGTCTAACATTAGGTGCCATAGGGACAGGCGCACCTTTCCCTGGCTGACTAAAGGCTTGTGCAGTTCTGTTACCACTAGAAGGTACCCAACCAGCTGCGTTGTTCTTACTATTCAATTTCTGCATTACCTATATAGAAGACACACGCACACGTGTATATGTACTTCATTAATTTTTTGACACAGTATATTGTAAACACACACATTGTTTTTGTAAAATTAATTTTGTAAAATTGAATTAAACTTACTTTATGCTTTATGTCATCTCCATTCCAGACGACATCGTCCTCCCAGTGCAACTGAGATACCATTAGGAATGCATCATCAGCAAATTCCTCACCCTTCGCTTCCGACATGCTGTTTTCTTGCTCCTCTGTCTAATTGTAAAATTCATAAATTTAAAATTTAAGATATATGCGCGATAATAAAGTAGGTATTAGTACTGAACATGAGATAAAATAGCCACATACTTTTTCAGTTGTCTTGAAACCATAATTAAATCCGTCTCCGGTTTCAGGCACTTCAAGCATATCGTACCACAACTGTGCAGGCCCAAACCTCCAATCAGCTACTTTGGGTCCCATATCGCCATTTTCTCCTGTCTCACCCATTTTTCCAGTTTGTTCTTTATCTTCTACTGGTAGCAACAGTTTGCTCTCATCATCAGAACGACATGCCTCTGCACTAGGTTCTGGACCATATTGCATAATCCACCCCTAAAACAAATAGAAATCTAAAATTAAATATGGACAAATAAGTGTTTGTACTTGAATATCATAAAAATATACTGAAAATTTATCTCGTACCTTGAATCTAGGTCTTTTATCTTCCAGATCAGAACCAGAATCCGAATCTTTAACATCATGGTGTTTTTTCTTCTTACGTCGCTTTCTCACACCTCTCCAAATCTGTGGTAAGCTGCTTGGTTTGCCAGGACCAAACAATCTTGAGAATCTAAGAACTTTATCGGTGCGAAAGTCTGGGAATAATTCAGTAACATCAACATCAGCATACTTTGATGGCAACATAGAAGCCAGAGGAGTTTCCAGTTTACGTTGACGTGCTGCCTCTGCCTCCTCTGCTGTCAGCATTTCCTTTTCCTCGGGTATTGGTGGAGGTGGCATCAATTGTTTATCTGACTTGTTGTCAACTTCCTCATCATCAGCATCATAATCTGCATTCTCTTTTTCTGTTTTCTTATTAAGTTCGTTATTCTTAGCTAAAAACAATTTATTTCTTAATTTTTTGTCATATTTGTAAAACTATAATTAATGGTATATAAACAATTTTTAGCTCAATATATGTGATTCCATATTATAAACAAATATATACAATATATAGTAGTTAATATAATAATTTATGATCATGCACGTTTTTTATAATAATAATACTAACAAGTTTCTTCATTTGTATCATCTGCCAATTCATTTATATCAGAAAAGTCTAAAGCTGTAGGTGATTTTGTAAAGTAATCTACATCCATATCATTTACAGTTGTATTCTGACTTTCTGACTTATTATCTGTTTCGCTTTCTTTTTCTTCGTTACTACAGTCATTCCGCATCATCTCGTTGATAAATGAGTTTAAACCAAGACGACCGAGAGAAGCTAAATGTTGTTTGGCATCAGGATCCAAGATATCATCTTCTAATTGACCATTATCATCAATATTGCCAAAAAGGAAACCAGTAATATTGAGGCCAGACGCAAAATCTTTCTCATTCTCGTCTTCGGAATCTCCCATTTTTCTTTTATTGAAATTTAAACGTCACTTACTTAAATGATTTTTAAAAAGCCTACAAACGTTTCACTTTGCAACTCAATCACGAATCAATTCACTTTTTTTATCGCGTAGATATATACATGTATATATTATTGATTTGTGGAAAAAAAGTATCAATTCAATTTTTGTAACTCAATATCGAACAGTTGCGTACAAATCACGATTTAATATGTATTTACATAGTATTACATCTATAACTGTACACAAAAGAGACATAAATCCAACTGTGGGCATGTGCGGAACTCTACGCGTTAAAGGCCGAAGTACAGACTTTAAAGGGTCGTCTACAATGGAGAGTTTTAGACTGTAACAGTAAGAAACTGACAAATCACAATCGATTATTTTTCTGTACTTTGTCTGTGATTGGTCAATTTCTTACTATTACGGCCTACAACTCTCCATTGTAGACGGCTCTTAAGGGCCTTCTACAATTAGATATTAGAATAAATCAAAAGTCAGAAGCAAGAAATTGACCAATCACAGATAAATCACAGAAGAATAATCGATTGTGATTAGTCAATTTCTTGCTTCTGATTTCTGATTTATTACTAATATCTTATTGTAGAAGGCCCTTTAAGAGCCGTCTACAATGGAGAGTTGTAGGCCGTAATAGTAAGAAATTGACCAATCACAGACAAAGTACAGAAGAATAATCGATTGTGATTTGTCAATTTCTTACTGTTACGGTCTAAAACTCTCCATTGTAGACGACCCTTTAAAGGCCGAAGCACATACTTTTGCATAACGCATAAGACATAAGAGAATCAACCAATCAAAGCTTTCTAGAACAAAAAGTAGAGATAAAAACAAAAAGCTGGATTGGTTGATTTTTTATGTCTTATGCGTTATGCGTTATGCAAAAGTCTGTGCTTCGGCCTTTATAGCTCAGTTTCCGTCATGTTGTTGGTAGTAAAGATTCGCTGCGGCAGCAAACGTCACGTGACTCAAATTTTCTAGGACTGCTTCCGCTGGGTATATTTGCTGCTCTTATCTAACCCTCACTCGATGCCATTGTCTGCGAAGTTCAAACATACAAAAAGCAGCAAAACCGGGAAAACTTTATTGTTGATACTTATGCAATAACTATATAATTCCATCAACAACAAAGAATGGCATTGAATGAGGGTTAGGTAAGAGCAGCAAATATACCTAGCGGAAGCAGTCCTAGAAAATTTTAGTCACGTGACGTTTTGCTGTCGCAGCGTGCTGCTGTATGAAAAGGTACCTTAATACAACGCATGCGCTGTAGCATTTCTTCGACGCTATTTTCTTCAAGTGACTCTACTGGTTATATATATACTGGTCTAGTTTCCACCGAAGCATTAATTCACACCTAATGCGGCGCAGAATCAAATTTAAGTCAATGGAAACGCGTCAAATTGCGCTTATTTCACTTCCGCTTTGATTTATAAGAGGTCTGTTCTTTTTACCTGAACTGACCGCACTAGTTCAGAGTTCATCTTTTTCACTCTACATTGGAAGAAAAAAGATAAACTTTGAACTAGTGTAGCAAGTTTAGGTAAAAAGAACAGACCTAAGTATTCTACTTCCAATGGAAACGGAACACTAAATTTGATCTGTACCGGAGTGAAACCGAATTGAGAGTTTCTGTGGAAACTAGACTACTGTGACTGCAGCGAACCAAAACAAGCGAGGAGTTACAGCAAGTGTTTTCGTTTTATTTTAAGAAATAATATATTATTTCGGTAATGGAGAACAGTGGTGAAAGCGGAGATGACAATGGTCCTTTAGGATCAACAGCTTTTCTAGGAGGAGGTTCTGTTACAGCGTCTTATATTGGTGTACAATCTGATGATATCGAAGGTAGGTTAAAGTTTTTGAGAAGGACTGTATGAAAAATATTTATAATGAAGCTATACAAATGTTTTGTTGTACTTTTGAAATATTATTTACATTTTAAATTTTCTAATTCAATTTTGTCATTTTCTGTTGCTTGTTAATTTCCAAGCGTCGGAATGTATAATTTTTTGGACTATTTATATATATATATATATATACATGTGCGAATGAACCAAAATCATACGTGTAGCAGTGTAATGGTTTAAATAGATGTTTTAGCTTTTTTTCCTATCTTAGTTGTCTTACTTGTCAATTCTACTACATTATTATATTAATCCTTCACGGACAGACATGAGTCTCCCAGCTCACTTAAAATTTGCGCATCGGCGTTTCTAGTGTAAATTATTTTTTTTTAACGCTTATATCTTCGAAAGTATTAAAGAGTTTTTCCATTTTTTTGTCCACAGAATTGTTTAAAACAACAAAATTTAAAAATTAATTTTTTGCCGAAATATTCGATTTTAAAGTGGCGTCTTACGAGTCTGTCTGACTCGTAGGTCATTTTTGAGGTCTGTCTGTAAAAGGTTAAGTAATAACAAGGGTTCAGTATCCTAATAGGCAAATTGTGAAAATATTGCACAAAAATGACATCATGAATAACGATCCTGCAATGATTGCACTAAGATGATTCGCCATAATGCAACAGTTTTGTCGAAATAAAATTTTGTAAATAATATTTGTCAAAAATTGCGAAAAAGTCATTATGCATTTCCATAAGTATATGCATGAATTTAGTTGATTTCTTCATATGCAATATTATATTTCTTCATATTTTAAACATCACATAGCTGAAATTTTTGTCTCAATTATTGGACAATTTTTTTTTGAAATTAATTTTGCAAATATACTACTAAGATAATTCGCCATATCGTTATTCTTTTGCCGAAATAGTATTTGGAAAGTAATTTTGCAAACAACTACAAACATTTTATAAAAGATCAATGTTTTTACATCTATTTCCTAAAATATATCTGTATAATTACAAATTACAATTTTAGTGCAAGATTTTGTCACAATTTTGTAAATGTTTTCCTATTAGGGATAATAACAAAGATAGAAATATCGGCACTATTTACATACTTTTGTTAATTTTTATATATTTAAATAATCTGTAGATAGATCTATATATATATATTTTTAAATGATTAAAGTTTTATAAATTATTGTAAAAACCAAATATGTATTTTATTATTACTAGCGGTATTGAAAATCTATAAGTTCAGGTTACATATATACTATAGATTTTTAAATACTGTCAATAATAATAGGATAGATAAAAAAAGATTTTAATAAATATTACATTAAACAGATGATCCTGAAAACACTGATGATTCCAATCATGATGCATCAGATCCTCTGCACAGCCCTGGAGCTTCCACTGGCGGTGGACCTCTTCGTGAACAAGATCGCTTTTTACCCATAGCAAATGTTGCCAAGATCATGAAAAGAGCCATTCCTGAAGCTGGAAAGATAGCTAAAGATGCACGTGAATGTGTTCAAGAATGTGTTTCTGAATTTATCTCATTTATCACATCGGAAGCTAGTGACAGATGTCACATGGAGAAGCGTAAAACTATTAATGGTGAAGACATTCTGTTTGCTATGACTACGCTTGGCTTTGATAATTATGTCGAGCCTTTGAAAGTATATCTGCAGAAGTACCGGGAAACAACAAAAGGTGACAATCCTACCAATGCTGCTACAACTTCTGGCAATGGAAAGACAGAACCCCAGAGTAATATGTATGAGGATCAATTATTTGCTATTACAGCAACTGCATCCAGTGTAACTACTTCTGATCCTTCTGTTATCTATAGTAGTTACTCGTCCAATGAGCAGGTGCAGTTTCCACTCTCCTGATCATTGGGAATCGGAGTAATTGGTGTAATGTATTATAATGTATGAGGACATATGTGAAAGAAGATACATGATGATGATGATGATTGCATATCATTCCTAAATCAAGAAGAAAAAACAATGCCTAACATTTTCAGGCAAAGTAAAGTATTCTAAAACTTAAAACCTCATTGTTGTAAGAAATAGACACAAACGCGTTGTAAAGGTTGTTGGTTAAAACTGAATACTGAGAGGTAGAGTAATCTTTATAAAATAAGGAATTTATGTAATAAACTTCAGACTATGATAAACTACAGACTTAATTAATAGTGATTTTGTTTACTGTTTTGTGAATTTTTTGTTTACTGTTTTGAACACATGACAAGGATAGAAAAAATGTAGTCGATTCCTTTATTTTTCTATGGTTTAAGTTCTAAAGACGCACTTAGACTACTTTTTAGGCTGCGAAAACTCGCGGGTTCAGGCCGCAACGGAAACTAGAGCCGAGTAATCGGCTGTAAGAACCGGCAGTAAAAAATGGTATATGTATATGTATATATGTGTACACACACGCACACACACACACACACATATATATATATATATATATATGTATATGTATATATGTAAATGTGTGCGTATACAGGGTGTCCCATAATTGTCGTCTAACCGCTCGTAGGTAGATAGAAGGGGTTATTCTAAGACGAAAAGTTCTATACTACTTTGCAAGATTCGCAATAATTAACGAAATATTAATTAATAAAAATCCGTTAATCAGCATGCATCCAGCCTAAGGACAGTCCAGTCTGTCGCGCCGTAGCGACGGAATACAATAGCGCGGATAGCGCGCTGCCCGAACGCAGCCTATATGCTGTCTATGTATGCACGGGTTATATTCTATTAGCTCCTTCCATTCTGTCGCTACGGCGCGACAGACTGTCCTTACGCTGGATGCGCGCTGATTAGCGCATCTTTATTAATTAATATTTCGTTAATTATTGCGAATCTTGCAAAGTGATCTAGAACTTTTTGTCTTAGAATAACCCCTTCTATCTACCTACAAGCGGTTAGACGGCAATTATGGGACACCCTGTATATATATATGTAATATATGTATAGAATCCATTTTCGTAAAAAATATTCATGACGCGACCTTGGATGTCCTTCACTCCGTTAGTTGGGCAGGTGAGAGCAAGAGCTCATGTCCTTTGATTGCTGGTGACAGAGAGCGGCTTGTCAGTGCGATCGGTCGTTCTTGTTGCAGTTCTTGCTGCGATGACGGCAGTAGTGACGCGGTCGGCAACATTTTTGGTCGCGTGTCCACTTTTCTCGCCTTCTGCTTCTTGTGCGAAGTATCGACGTGACAGAACCTTCGACACCGACAGCAGCGGCAGTGACAGAGACATAACAGCACGCGGAACAGACAGCACAACAATCCGGCACAGAACAGCGTCGGACCAATTAGTCTCAGCTGTGGAGTCAGAAAGCCTTTCTCTCCGCTGCCAACAAACGATATCACTAAACCGAGCGCCGTGGTCCCTAAACCCGCATAAAGTACGGTATTGACCGCCGCGCTGACTTGTCCTCTGTGACGTAAGGAGTTACTGCTGTCATCTTCGTCGTCTTCGCCGCTGCTTCCATAGCAATAATTGGCGTCTCTGATCTAAAACATGTAATATCACAGGGTATTATATTTCTACTTTTGTTATCTCTGCAAAATGAAGTTTTTTCTTAGCTGATCCTGTTGAGCATCCACGTAACATTTACGTTTCGATCATAGACAAGCCTTTAAAAATTGAAAAAAAAAAACGATTGTTTGGAAAAATTAAACAGCAATTCTTAAGAACAAGAAAGTTAATCTTTATTAGCTTGAGGAACATTTTGTCACTGTGACAACATCCACTTGGCACAGTTGTCCAAAGATAGCTATTAAGTTTTTGAAATCTATTTCGATTGAAATTTTGTTTTTCTATTATTGCTCTATTAAGATAACAAAGAACACAAAATTTTTGATCGGAATTGAGTCAGAAAAAGTATAATAGCTATTCAGCTACTCCCGAGAAATAAAACGCAGTAATGTTTTTTAAATGATATTGCTTGTCGAACGATATATGGTAACGAATTCAGACCGGATCCCACGTTGCATGACAATAAGATTATATTTTTCTTTGTTTAGTAAAAAAAAAAATAAATAAATAAAAACTCGATACGCTAAATACGACATCACTAAATGAATATACATTTACATTCGCTGGTGTATAGATATAGTAGAATAAATTAATATTTCAATTTTTTAACAATGGAGGTTTTTTTATGTACACAATTTAAATCTATATATATAAAAATGATCTCTTCCTCTTTAATATTATATTAATATTATATTAATTCTAGAAAAAAATTACTCTGTTTCTTTTCATCCATCTTCGATGGGCTTCGCATTGCTTTGTTCTGTAACCGTCTCCGCGGTAACCAGGCGATGTGGGAGATAAAGCAAGCGACGAAGGTCTGTTGCATCCTTCCCATGCTGCCTTACTGCCAGGTCCGGCGCACTGAAATATGTAACTTTTAGACATATCGCTATAAAGAAATTAATATCAATATAAGAATTGTATAGTCTATTATTACGAGTACTTAACATACATTGAATAATTTAATTGTTTTTAACATTATTTAGAATTGTGAGATTATATTTTGTAATTACTTTTTCACAATAGTTTCTCAAGAGAGAAAATTGTTTTAAACACACTTTTGAATTTAACAAAGGTTTTTTAACTTCCTTGTGAATATACATTGGCATCTATATTTTTTGTGTTATATGTATGAGTAAACAAAATATTAAAACTTTTCAGTAAGACAAAAATGAGCAATGAAATGTGATCTACCTAAAGAGCACTTGATAAAGTTTGCTTCGAGAAATCGTCTCAATCAAAATTTATACTAATCAATTTCACGATTTCGTGTTCGCAAAACTTTTCTTATTAATATGTTCGGTTCTAAATGTCGGTCGGCTTTTTGGAAGAACTGCGCAACGTCGTGTAATCTGCGATGTTCACGCGACAAGGAATACGATTGCTCCTCGACGGCCGTGATCTAATACTTACCCCGTACACGTAAGATCGTGGGGGATATCGTGGAAACGGTGGAATAAGTCTGGTGGCGAAGTTGGAAGGTAATTCTCGAAAATTCACCACCTTACCCCCCCGTAATCGGTGTTTCTCCCGTCTAATCAATAAAGCAGCCTGCATTCCGCTCATTCATTTGCAAGTGCCGAGATCCCAATTTTCTCTTAGCCCCTCACTGATAGCCAGATATTTATTCTTTCTCTTTTTCTTTCTCTTTTCTTTCTCTTTTCCTTTTTTTTTTTGTTTTATTTTTATTCTTTTTCCCGATAATATACGTGAAAAGACCACTTTTTTTTAGTTCACCTCAGAGATCTATCACTGAGATCCCATTCGGTGCTGGACGTAACGATCTACATCTAACATCATTTTACCCGCCATCATCATCGCTGTTCCTATTTGCCGGCGGTAATTGTGGGGGACATGTTTCACGCTATACTGAAATTACATTGTGAATTTTTTAGCCAACCTGGGGGGCAGGCCAAGAGAGATTTGGGCGTAGAGAATTTGTCGCCTCTCTCTTATTGCTTGATAGATTTTTATCGCGTGTTATACGCCACCAGACAGCCGATCGATGCTATTTGCTATGTATGTTGCACGAAGTGTCGGTAAAAGAGAGATGAGAGTGGTGCAATACCAGAACGAGAGAGAGAGAGAGAGAGAGAGAGAGAGAGAGGGAGAGAGTAGTAGTAGTAGTAGTAATAGTAATAGTAGTAGAGCATATATATGTACACAATGTGTGTAATTTTTTAAGTGAGAGTGAATCGCGTTAAAGCGATAGTGAGTTCGTATAATCTCCTTTAATCTAATTCATTAATATAATTACACTAGGCAGAGATAATGATTGTATGGTAAGAATAATCGAATCGCATTTGATCATGGGTCAGCAGATGTCTTCTTGCCGAAGATAATAAAATTGAAATTATATCTATACTTGCTGACACAAAATTGTATATTAGAGAAATAGATAAAATAAAGAAAAGTAGAATACAAGTCAATCAAATACCGTGAGCATTTAAAGGCATAAAGAAATTTCTAACATATAACACAAGTTATTTCCGCAATTACTAGTTGGTCTTATGATCATTTGATAGTTTATAAACTTATTTATATGACTCAACGATTTTCTCTGCCTAATGCGCGCAGTGCGTGATTTCTTTTCGCTTTGCGTGATTTCTAGACGCATGTAGAAATAAGTAACTGGACGTAAGAATTAAGATAGAGGATAATGATCGGTAGTAACTCTCGAAGCGAGAAAAGAGAGAGAAAGAGAGAGAGAGAGAGAGAGAGAGAGAGAGAGAGAGAGAGAGAGAGAGAGAGAGAGCGGCTAAGAAACAGCATGTGAAATCTCCGGAGGAGGACTGATGAGGAGAGAATGCTCGACAATATACCCACCTGTAGCTCCGAAGGAGGCGAGACTTGGAGATCGAGGATCGAGGGTGGCGGAAAGGGAAATTTGCTGGACTTGTCAGCTGGATGGTAGGAGGTAGTGGCGGACGCCGAGGACTCAAGGGAAAGCGGAGGCGGCGAGATCGGGAAATGGATCGGTGAGATCGGCGCAACTGGCTGCGATCTGTCAGTGGTGACGATGTGACGACGCCGATCGTCGACGACCGGATGGAACGCGGCAGACGACGACGACGTCGATGTTGGCACTTGTCGCTGCTTTGCTCGCGAGACGTGTGACGTAATTTGGTGCGGACGGGCGAGCTTGGTCGAGTGAGCATGATGATGATGGTGGTGAGAGTGGTATTCGTATTGGTGCTGGTGTTGATGATGCTGCAGGTGATGATGACGTGAGGTTGGTAGACCACCCTTAGATTTTGGCAGTACGACATTGACAGGCTGTTTGCTGAGCTGCAGTCGTTTCTGTTTCCTTCGATTGGCGATGCTAGCACCACCCGCCGCGGCGTACATCGCTCCGGAGGTCGCTGCTTCCCAACTTCTTGTTTGCTGGTCTCAAAGCAGTTCCGGGCCCTGTTCCCGTTACGAATGTCACTTGCGTTGCATAATGTTGATAATCGTGCCATCAATGTGTCATCATTTCATTCACTGGTTGCTTCTCATCTCGTTCTGTTTCGAATTTTCCTTCTGTCTCTCTCCTTTTTTCTTTTTCTATTTTTTCTCTCTTTCTCACACTTTTTCTCTTGCCCCTTTCTGGAAAGGCAAGAAACGTGACGGAGCTCCGCCTGTTGTGGCGCCCGTCGTTACGATCTACGTTCTCTAAATCGCTACGCGGCAAGCACGTTGAAAGCGGTTTTTTTTACATTGGATCGAATCGCTGCTAATCAGCGAACGCGTAACGCATTATTTATTCGATGACTTGTGTACAGACGTCGAATGGAAGTAGACCGAACACGAGTTTTTATTTCCCTGACTAAACAATGTTCCGAATTAATACCAGATAAAACAACATACTATAAATTAGTTTTTTTTTTTAACTATATATTTCTGCAATTTAAAGCGATGTAAGAATATATTTAAATATTAGGTGGAGAAAAAGGGAAAAGTAAAATTATAAGAAAAAAATATGCTCAAAAAGAATTATTTATTTTCAAATTGGAATATAAAAAATCACATAAACTTCAAATTACAAATATTAAAAATCAATTGATTATACATGCTTGAAGTATATATGTATTGTTTTATACAGAATGTTATATATATATATATATATATATATATGTATATATATATATAAAGCATTTTGTGGTTATGCGTTCGCTGGATATATTTGAGAGAAGCAAGTATTACAATATATGCAACGAGCAATTCATCGGTGTGTGTGTGTGTGTGTGTGTGAGTGTGTATGTGTGCGCGCGCGTGCGTGCGTGCGTGTGTGTGTGCGTGTGTGTGTGTGTTATATAAAGAAAAACCATATAAATATGTATAGAATCTAAACAAAACACCTTTTGAAAATAAAATATATACGTAGAAAATTGGAAATAACAATTATACATAGAAATAACAATTATAATAAAATAAATAAATATATATAAATTATTTTGAAATGAATTCAAAAAAGCAAATTGTTTTTACTTTCTGTATGCACGACATGTACAGATCTCAGAATGTTTTGCTCTGTTTTGTTCTAACTTCTAAAAGAGCAAAGATAGGAGTGTAGGAGAAGAGTTGCTATGTTTAAAGTATTATATGTTGTAGAACTCTACTCTTCTAATACAAAAAAGTTCTATGTACATCTTTCGTCTCACACACACACACACAAAAGAAAAAAGGTTTTATGAAATTCGACTCTTCAAATTTCATAAATATTAATGATGTCTTTTCTACTTTAAGTTGACTATAAATATTTTAATAAAAGGTTTATATTAATTATTAAAGTAAACTTTATATAAAGTATTTTTAATTGCGTAATATGCTACATATATGTGTGTATATATTATAGATATGATTTATTATGTGATATTTACAATGTCGCTGTATCGTTAAAAGTAAGAGATAATTTTGCGTATGAAAAAATAATATATTATTATTTACAAATAGGAAACTGATAAGTACATAATATGATACTGTTATAGCAATTATTTGTTTAGTTTTACTTTATAGTAAGTGAAAATAGTCGCATTTTTTAAATCTAATTTAACAAATAATAGTTCATATAAATGTAAGATACCTTAAAACTGTTATATAAATTTATACAATTAAATTTGCATGCACAATTCTTTTCAGTAGTTTCATAATATTTAAAGAAAACAAAATTTTTTTATGCATGTAGATATAATTATACATATACACAGTGGTTAACTATACACTACAAATGTCTATTATGAAGAAAAGGCAATAAGAAGAGTTTCAGCAAAATAAATCGCATATAGGCTAAGTGCAAAATATATAAATTTTTCTTACCAAGACAACCTTCGAATCGAATTATTTTTTATAACTGATTTCAGCAACATTTTTATAGACAAAGATGTTAAATCATATCACAATCTGCTGTTTTTGTGTAGAAAGAACTATTTTTTTAGACAAAAAATCAATTAAACACATTATTATAGAATGAAAAATAAAGTAATATATAGGTTCTCAAATTGATAACTTCAATATTTTATTTACGTCTTAAATTACTTCTTGTAAAGTAAATAGAATTAATTAACAGAGAAGAGTGATGCAATTAATTATTTTTCTTTTCTTCTTTTTCTTTTTAATTCAAATTTTAATAATTGATACTATAGGTAAAAATCAATCAAATTTGATGACACAGATAATAAAAATTATTCATGTTTCAGAAATCAGCTGTTAGAGTCACAAAGTTACAAAAACGTTCCCCACGAACTCGTCTACAGTGCGGTGATTAAAAATGTATGACGGATGAGTTGGATGATAAGCAGTAGTCGCGCGCTGTGACGATAGTGGATAAACGTCATACATGCAACAATACATACGTGCACGCGAAATATATATATGTGTGTGTGTGTGTGTGTGTGTGTATACACACACACACACTATACATATATACATATATGTATACATATAAGCAAGAAACGTATTTTTACACAACACAACGTGAAAGTTCATGGATATTCACAGGAACCAAGAAAGTTCAGGATGAATACGACATGTAAGAGATACACAGAAGAGAAGTGACCTACTGATATACATATATCTATTCGTGATAAGAGAAGTTATATACAGGCTGACTGGTGGCCTTCAGGAAAGTCATGTAATTCTCTCTTTTTCTGCATCGTTCTTTCAACGGGGACGAAAAGTTTTTTGTTTTTATGAAAGGAAGCAAAGGGATAAGGGAACACAACGAAAACGACGACAACGACACGACGAGATAATGTAAAAAAAGACTATGCTTGATCACATCCGTTCTCTTTTTTAACTTGATCGCTAACGACCGCTGCAGCAGCGAACATTTGCGGCTTCAACGGCGGCAGCAACAGCAATATGTAGCAAACAAAAAAAGAACAGGCATCAAGCCAATCAACATCAAAAAAACGATTGACTCTGCGCGTACCCACAAAATTTGAGAGAAAGTTAGTAACACCGTGTTCAACTCTCTTTTTCTTTCCTTCTCTTTCTCTCTTTCTCCCCGTTGATTTGTTCACGATAAATAATGGTACGTCGACATTTTGTCGCCCCGTTGATCGGGAAGGGGAAAAGATAGGCTCGTTCCCTCTTTTCTGTCTTGTCTGTGCCACTTATCTACGGACAAGTTTTGGTATATACATCGGTGATGCGCGATGCGTCTCACTTGATTGCCAGCAAGACGCACGATAAGATCTCCATCGTTCCGATCGCAAATACAGACGCGCCCGTCAACCGAGAGTGCATGCATGCGTGCGTGCGTGCGACCACCCACGACCACCGCGACTGACAGCGATGTTGGAGCAGCCGCAGACAGCGGCATCGCGCGCTCCGCTCTGCTCTGTTGCCCCCTCGCCTTTTTCTCTTTCTCTCTGTCTTTCCTCTTTTGCTTTTCAACCCCGTCCATTTTCGACGCGCGCACAGCGGGAGCCCTACGCGCAAGGCTGAAACTGAAACTAAGCAGGGGTAAGCGAGATGTGCGAATATGACAGCAGCTGTGACTTGTCACTTTCACCACACTCGAAGAAGCAGACATTCACAAAAGTTATAACAATTTATAAAAGACAAAACAAAATGTGATATGATTGCGAATAAGAACAAGAAAAGGATTTGTTTATTATAAACAATAAAAATTATCAGGAAAAAAATTACTTATTTGATTAGAAAGAAGATATATATATATATATATATATATATAAACGCATCATTTATATGTATATACATATATGTATATGTATATATATACATATGTATATATAATGTATGATGCGTTTATGTTTTTCATAGATCTTATACAATTAATTTTATTTTATACTACTTTATATGTGTGTCTCTCTCAAAGAACAAAATAAACACATATGTAAAAGATATAACCAAAAACTATTTTAAATATTATTGTCAAATTTGCAATATATAAATTTATTATAGTCATGTCCCGGTAAAAAATTTTTCATACATACTTATACATAAATTAAGATTATTATATCTAATTATGCAAATTTATGCCGAATATGTCCATACAATTTTATACGGAGAATTTCTTTTTTTAAGAGAATGGTTTCAGAGATATTCCATATCAAATTACAAAATACTCTATTAGTATCATGTTAGATACAAACAAATTATATAAAACTATATTTTCACTATATTTTAAAAAAATTGTTTGATATATAATCATATATACTTATATAAATCAAAATCATATATACTTATACAAATCAAAATTATTATTTAATTATGCAAATTTATATGCCAAATAATGTCCATACAATTTTATGGAAAATTTTTTACCGGGGTATATAATTTTGTCATGTATAAAATGTAATCACATATTTACAAATATAATTTACAAATATAATGTCATCTTTCTCTTTATTATTATATCTTATTATTGTGTATTTGAGCATTTCTCTAGTATTATATAAACAAAATGCATGTATAAACATGTGTACGAAAATATCAAAAGTTGAATGCTAGGATGACCCATTTTCGCGTTTGCCCACTACACCGACTATAACCGGGTTACCTCGTTCTCTCGATCTCACCTCGAGTCGATATCCGGGCTAGCATGTTGCCTTTGACCTTTCACCTTTACATACTTTAACCTGATTTCACGATGCAAACGAATGACCTGCCTTATCGATTTTTTTTTATATCTTGTTACATAATTTCTCTGACAGTCATCTGTATTTGAAAAAATACGCTATATAAATAAAACAGAAACAAATACAATATAATGTGCAGTATAATTATATATATGTATATATATATATATATATATATAAATTTTTCATATATATTTATACACATATATGTACATACACATATTTATGTATTGTGTACATTGTATTATACATATAATAAAATATAAATAAATAAAAATAATATGTACATTTTTATAGAATAATTTAATTTACACATAGAAACTTGAAAGATGCTCTTTACTTTATAAAAATTATTTTTAATTAAAACAAAGTTTGCTTTATATATTACAGCCCTTTTCTCTATATGTAGCCGGTTTCAAAATATATATTCCCTGATAGAAAACCATTTACAAAATTATGTGACGAAATCTTGCACTAAAATTGTAATTTGCAATTATACAGACATATTTTAGGAAATAGATGTAAAAACATTGATCTTTTCTGAAATATTCGTAGTTGTTTGCAAAATTACTTTCCAAATACTATTTGCAAAAGAATAACGATATAGCGAATCATCTTAGCAGTATATTTGCAAAATTAATTTCACAAAGAAATTGTCCAATAATTGAGAAAAGAAATTCAGCTATGTGATGTTTAAAATATGTAGAAATATGATTGCATATGAAGAAATGCAAGAAATCGTTGTCACTCATAATGTCATATTTGTGCAATATTTTCACAATTTGCCTATTGGAGGTATATATTGTGGAAATGCGTAACGACTTTTTCGCAATTTGTGACAAATATTATTTACAAAATTTTATTTTGACAAAACTGTTGCGTTATGGCGAATCATCTTAGTGCAATCATTGCAAAATCGTCGCCATTTATGATGTCATTTTTGTGCAATATTTTCACAAATGTGTCTATTAGGGCTGTAGCTATTTTATTGACATTATAGAAAATAGATGTGACTCTATTCAAAAGGCCATTTCACGCAACAAAATTTTAAATCATAATCGTAAAGTCATAAGCGAACCAACCAGTCAGTCACAAGCCAATATTTTAGCTAACGTAACGTAATACTAATCTATAAGTGGTTGAATTGATTACGATTTTATGGTTACGACTAACTTTTTCACAGGCAATGATCTGTAAGCTGCTCATAGTGAGCGATCGCCGTTTTCAAAAGTGTAGTTTTATTTGCATAGCTTTACACTCTTTCGCGCCAATTTAATAAAAAATCTCTAAATGTTATTAGAGAGAAGAATGAGAGCGTCCAGATTCATAAGAGTTTTTACAATCGTATCTTTTTTGTGGACACGGTTCTATTCCGTGCTATGAGATCACCGACATGGTGGGGATACGCACACAAGCGAGAACCGCCGTCCGTGTGCGCTCGTGGAAGAGTGCAGACCTTGCAAAGGTAGAGAATACGCAGTCTATACATTCTACGTTCTATGACCAAAAAAACCATGCCCCTGTTCTGGCTAGTCTTAGAATGGCGTATGGACTAACCGTTATAGGTCCAAGAGCCACAAGCGCACCAAACCAACCAACCATGCCCCTGTTATGGCCTATGCCCAACTCGTGCAGGGGCAGGAGCCAACATGCCCCTGTTCGGTTATTACTAGCAGTACTGAAAAATCTATAATATATGTGACGTGAATCTATAGATTTTCAGTACTGCCAGTAAAAAACGAACGCAGCCTGTATCTCCCGATAGCTATCCTCTGGATAAAGATATACAAAAAGATATACTTCATATTTTGGATAAAGTTATCGAAAACTTATCTAGAAGTGAAAAAATTAGACCTCAATCTTCTTTTTGCTGAAAGTTTCTCTTCATTTTTGTTTGTACTTATAGGTTAGGTTAGGTTAGGGTAGAGATTATGTGATTTGTGTCTAATCGTGTCACAATTACAAATAACGTATCCACTTGTCCGTTTTTAATTGTATTGTGGTCAAACGGAATACGTCTGAAAAATTTTTCTTCTGATCCGAATGGTGTTTTTTTTTTGGTATCACACTTCATCTTGATATCTAACTTCAAACGTTTCCGAATGGCATGAGCAGCGCATGTACTCGAGTGAAGTTTCCAAACATAGCCCTATATAATAAATCCAATTGATAAAAAAGTATAAAAACCTACAATGCGAAATAATAAATATTAAACTGTTAAACGTGCTAAAAAATGAGAAGAAAATTATGCTTGTTGCAGTGAAAGAAATACATAGAACGGAACGCAATTTACAAACAAATAAGAACAATGTTATAACAAAATTAGTGTCACAGATGAACTTAAAGGTATCAACTAATGCTGATATACAAGTTTCTACGATCGAAACAGTACCTAGCATCTTTGATGCTTTTGCCAATTCATTCATTGAAAAAGCGGTTCCTGAGGTGAAATTGGAAGGCTACATGTTAATTAATGAATCTCACCAAAATAATGTTTATAGTGCAACTTTGGCTTTGCAAGATTATATTAATGAAGTGATAATGATTACACACAATTTGCTTAGACAAGACGTGAAAATACCAAACTCTTCCAATTATAAGTGAGATATTAAATTTTGATTAAATGTTTCTGCCTTATAATAGATATAAACATTTACTTTTATATACTAGATGTACAAAAAGACAGATAAATAAGATAAATAGAAATATATTTACTTTTTTATAGGCCACAAGTTGACGACTTTGTTTGCTTTAAAGAAGAAAATAGTTGGTATAGAGGATATGTTTTAAAATGTCCTTCAATATCAAATTTGTATACTATCATGGCAATAGATGATGCTAGAATTTTGCAATCAAGTAAAGTTTTGCCATGTCCTAAAAAATTCTCAAAAATTTTTGCTCTTGGAGTCATGTGTATTGTGGACCATCTCTCTGTCAAATTGGAGGTAGATATTTTTAAATGCTTTATTTATTACAATGTAATGTTCTCATATATCCATATCATTTAAAAAGATATCCTTAAAATTTTATTGATTTTAAAAGACTGTGCTTTATCAATATATAATTCTTAAGAGAGTATCTATACATTATTTGATATCCTAAACATTATAAAAAATAGAAAAATATATATTCCTTAAAAAATACATATTAAAAAATGTCATATGATTATTTAAAAGAAAATAATTTTTTTATGTTTAGAAAATTAAAGGTTTTAATATCTACAAAGTTTTTTTAAATTTTTCTCACTAAATGTTTATCATCAAATATTTGTTATTGACAAGGTGGGGAAAAAATATAAAGTTATAATAGTTGTGAATGAACAAAATCACAAGCAAAAAAGACTTCCAATAAAAATATCTAAATGTTCTGAAATTATAACAGCTACGATAAAGCTTTGGGAACCTGAAGTCAAAGAAAGTTTGAAACCGACAGGTTTTCCTCTCCCTGAATTTAAGAACGGATCTAAGGTTTGATATTTATCGATTTCAATTGTGTATTTGTACTAAAATAAATTGTATTGTGTTATTGTATTGTCATTTATAATGATTATTATTTTGAAGATATGTCTTACTAGTTATCAAAATCATTATGTTATGTATGCACGTTCTTTGGAAGAAGCAGAAATAGAACATTATTATCGTGTTTTACAACGTGTTGCACTTTGCGCCCAAACAGGTTAAGTAATTGAATAAATAACGCAGAAAGAAGAGTACTCAATTAATTATAAATGGTTATAAAGTATTCTGTGTGTCTGATTGCAGCACCGCATCTATCTGAGCCTCCAAGTGTCGGACAAAAAGTGATTGCACCGTTTTGTGACGGCAACAATTACCGCGCAGAAATCATAAGAATACAGGACAAAGTTGAAGTAAAATATATCGATTTCGGAAATAAATATGAAGTTGATACAAAAGATCTTCAAATCTTACCGGACGACTTAGCCCTTGTTCGTAACACACACTTGTTCTCGTATATTAACACAAAATAAAAAAAATGTATGTGTAATATATATGATTTTCTATGTTTTTCTTTGCAGGAAAGAACTTGCTTGAGAAATATATTCTTAAAAGATGTTCCTCGTGACGTGCTTTTGAACACAGATGTCGATATTTATCTTCGCAATTTAACAGGCAAAAAAGTAATTATGACGTGTATGTATGAAGGTGCATTTAAAGATGGAGTTTATTTAAAGACGTACTCAGGAGAAAATGTAAACGACAAAATAAAAGACTTGTTGACACCAAGTTGGAAGCGATCAGATTATGATGGTAAATTATAAATTCGAACTGTATAAACTAAGTGCAACACACACACACTTGCAAATTCAAAATATTGCTTTGAAAATTTTTCCTAATAGAGTCCAATTTTAGTAAAGATGAAAATGTAGTTATAGTTTAATTAAATATAGTGGGGGGGGGAGGGAGAGAGAGAGAGAGAGAGGGAGGGAGGGGGGGAGAGTTAAATATTTACACATAGTTTAGTTATATTTTATATATGCATTTTTATATATTTTATAAAATAAGAATCAAATTTATTGATTTTTGTTTCTATATAGACACAACATGTTATATGTGGAGCACAGATATGGAAGTTGCAAGCTTAGGAGGTGAAGGCGACACAATAAATGCAATAATATTGAATATAATTGCAGATGGACAAAAATATTATATGTGTCCTGTTGACGGCGACTTGATATTTTATATTGAAAAAATATTGCCTGCTCTGGTATATATCATGTTAAGAAATATATATATTATATTAGATATTTATCACTTGACACCCAAGTATGTGGCATTGTTTGGTTGCAGTTAAAACAATATAGCGAGGAAAGATCTTATTATGTGCCCAGATCAAACGAATTATGTTTGGTATTACATGATGGTACGTGGTATCGTGCTCTTTGCATTGATCCGCGAAAAGCAAATAGAACAGCTGCAGAGGTTTTTTTAGTTGATTATGGTAATATACTAACAGTAAAACATAAAGATATTAGGTTAATGCCCAAAGAATATACTGTACCTTCGCTATTGGCAAATATGACTAAAGTTATTAGTAAGTATTATTGCACAGTTATTTTAGTTAAGTAATAATTGTGTTACTGCAAGTTTTATGTATTGTAGATTTAGCTCCTTTTGATAGTAGTGAGAATTATTCGTCTACTATACAGCAGAGAATAAAGCAATTAGTGAAGCTAGATTCGATCGTAAAGATTAAAATTGTGAAATGTGTCGAAAATGGTGACTATATAGTCGAATTACCAGATGTTCACGCCACGCTGATTGAGGAAGGTCTCGTATCCTCACAAAAAAAATTTTAACTCTTTCAGTATACTAAAATTTAGTTACAAAAACAGTTTTGCTAAACAGTCTTAATTAGAATGTTTATCATGTACTTGAATTTTTCACAATAGTGAAAAATTAATAGTTAACTGGATTATTCCATAATGTTGCTGCAAAACAGTTATAATCACCTAATAAAATAATTTTATAATAACTATTTTACAGCAACATCATGGAGTAATCTGGTTAAAATATAAATTACAATTTCATCCGTTAGCGATGTTTAAGTTCTTTACTTGATTTGGTTTTTTAATGACTGGTGGGTAATCACATTGAGATCAATTAGTATTTACGTTTGATCTTGCATCTTTTCCGACTTGAAAACTGAACACAATCATTGCATATATTTACCAGTAAATTTTTTACTTTATTTTGCAATATTGTAATTTCTTTTAGAAAATTTATTTTCTGACTGTTGAATATAAATAAGAGCGTTTTCTTTTGTGCGCCGACAACTCAGAAGTGCAACATCGTTGCAAACATATAATTTTATAAGTGAAAACCTTGTAATTGTAACTTTGTGAACAAGATAAATAATTTTTTTTTACAAAAACAACATTAGTGACGATTTTTACATCGAAGGCTATGCTCATATTCTTGATCAACCCAAATGGATTTGGATTACAAATTTGGATTTTTGAGTTACACTTTGGATTACAAATTTTTTATTTTGATGAAACTTTTTTTGTACTATTTGATTTCTTTGTCATGTTTACGAAAAAATAAAAATACAAACAGAAAAAATGAAAATACTGTTTTCTTATTTTCTACACTCGATTCAAGACTAAAAAGAACTGGATTGATTCAGTTATACGCAGAGCTATATAAAAATTTTATCTCTTCTTAACTTTCCTAACTCGTATATAGTCACAAATTGCCTCACACTATATTGCATGTAAAATATTACTTATCGTTTGATTATTTGTATTACAATTTACTTACATATTAATTTATCTACATGTGATAATTTATATGCAATAACATGTATAAAAATATAAAACATGGTTCATATTAATCAGACTAAACAATGTGTTAGCAGAGAGTTTTACATTTATTTATTGTCTTACGAAAATAAGTTCCTATGATATAACACAATATCAAATGTGTTTATATATATTATTGAAATATTATTACACACACGCGCGCGCGTATACATACAAGTGTGCTCATTTCCATTACTGATGAAAAGAAGCGAACGATTTTATAATTCTTGTTCTGTATTATTTACATAGTTTCCAAATTGTGTTTTACAGAACTTATTCATAATATCAATAATTGATGTTAATTGTACAGTTGTGATTTTTATTGTATATTGCAACATGTCTGTAGTATACTTGTAATAATTTTTTAGTGGCAATCCCAACAGTGTCTGCGCACTTTGCAAAAACATATCCGTTTGTTGTTCATAACGCCATGACATAATAAGTGCTATGGTGAGTAATAAACTAATTACGAAGAACCATACAATCATATATGTAAGAGATTGGCATAAACCAGTATCTGAGTTGTCAGCAACCATGAAAGAATTCACAATGTTAAGCGAATAAGACATGAAAAAAGAAAACCAAATTACAAAACATCATTACCTGTGGATTTATATGATCTATGTGTACACGTATTATTTGATAATTCTGTTAACAGTACATTATCATTACTGTCTTGACAATCTTTGTTCAATTTCTGAGGCTCAAGTTTATTTCCATTTAGTTTTGCTTCTTTATCTGAATTTTTTTTCTTTTTTTTTTTACCCTCTTTCTTTGCAATTTCCTTTTCTGTAGAATAAATAATGAGCAAAATTTACACACAAGAGATTAATAATTTTTATAATAGTTAATATATCTAATGTAATAATACATAATATACTTACCTGTAATGTTATTCAATCTTCGTAATCGTTCTTCTTCTATTACAAGTTTAACATTAGACAGATAAGTGACTATATTACGTGCACATGCTTGGCATTCACTCATGTTACTACATGGTCCTGCTACACTGGCTACAGCTTCAGTTAAAGGATTTTCTTTTAAATCCAACCATCTCAAGTTCTTTAATTCACTCAAACTCAAAGGTAATCTGCTAATCTGTAAGATATATATTTGTTTTAAATAATAACAACATCAAAAAGATACAAATTAAATAAAAATATTGTAAAAAGAAACATTCTGTTTTACACTTCAAAAAATCAAAATAAAAAAAAAAAAGCATATAAAACAGTTTATTTACCTTATTAGAATATAAATCCAAATATTTTAACTGTGTCATCTCACCAAAATTTTCTGGAAGTTCCACTAACAGATTTTTGCTGAGATCTAATTTTACAATTTGTTTTAGAGTAACAAAAGTGATCTGTGTAAATAAGTAAATAATTCATGTTAACACAATAATACAAATATTTATATTATATGAAAAATTGTGTGTTTATATAAGAACATACCGGTAGTGAAACCAAAAGATTAGTTGATAGATTTACATTTGTAGCTTTTCTAAGAAATGCCTGTCAAAACAAGGAGGTTAATTTTTTTAAATATTTTTTTTATTGTTAAAATATTGCAATGTTTATAATTTACAGCAATCTCTTTCTTTCCATATTTCAAATTTATGTAAAACTATATTATTGCAAAATATAAAAGATTTTTCTCTCTATATAAATGATTTTCATGCATATTGTACATCATATTTTAGTTTTGTAAGAAGCAAGGAAACTTACAATTTCTCGCACAGGTACTTCTTCCAGATCGCACAAACTAAGATCCAAAGTATCATCCTTGAGTTTATCCTTCACATCTTTCAGCTTCAATTTGACAGTCATGTTTCTTAGTTTTTTTTTTTAAGATTTTTGATAAATACAAAGTCGGAAAATACAAATATGTTTTAGGTTATTGTAAGGTAAGGGCCTGAGCACAATAGAGAAAATATTAGGAATAGGAATAAAAAACAGATGTTAAATATAATGCACAATGCGAAAAACGAAATATAACATATAAATCTATATAAATATAGGCTGTATATCATGCCATGAGATACTTCCTGTATTTATACATGTTATATTTTATTTTTTGTCATTGTATATATACCACGTTTAACTTCTATTTCTAATTCTTATTCCTAATATTTTCTTTATTGTGCTCAACACGATAACTTGATAATTACAGTTTTGCACGAAACAGTTTAATATCCTTGTCTACTATATTCGTTTATGTATTTCAGTTTCGTATACGTAAGCAAGCTCGACGCGTTAACTCAAATATCTATTTCTAATTTGACATATGGAACGTCAAGAAACTCATGGTGTAATAATATAAGGTGTAACATTCCGTGGTTGCGCAGTAGCCAACCAATCAGATTTGGGTCAAAATGCTTGGAATATGGCGTCCAATATATATAGTGTCCATGTGACACATTCTGTTACAGATGTATTTTGACCCAAATTGCCGCCGCCATTATGCGCAATGTTACACCTTATATTATTACACCATGGTTTAACGTAAAGTTTCGATGCTAAACTTCGGTACTAAATAATGCTACGTGGAGAGATGTAACGCGTATTCAGTGACTAGAATCACATCACCGCGAGATAAGTCGTATGTCTATAAAATGACAAACCTTATTCTATTCTCGAATAATAATATTGTCTCTCGGTCGAAATTGGACTGTAAACTTTGCAGAAACATCGGAGCACGGAGAGAGCACTCGAGTCTCTCCCACGTCGATATACTCGCGCACTCGAAGTCAAAGAAACCCGTCGTCTCGGGATTTGCGCGCATGAACGAAACGATATTTTCATAAGACGCCGGGGCTAGAAATCGACGTTTCCGCCTCGACAATTTTCCGCATGCACAGATAGGGGCCACTCTCTGCCGGACGTGATTGGCTTCTGATAGAATTACGAAGGGTGGACACACACGGGACTACTACCCCGGTCCCGTGTGTGTGTGCGTGTGTGTGCGCGCACTCGCGACACTGTGCACTACACACATACACACACAGATAGAACCACAAACGACCCTCGCTTAAAACAAAGGATGGAGGATGCTGCGTCGCTCCGGCGCATCTTCATATAGTCGGGATCATATTAAGTTTATTTTTTGTCCCTCCGCATGGAAACGGGAAATTGATGAGGTCCTTTCTATGGTGTACAGGGATGAAGAGGACACGATCGTGTGTTCTCTCTCGTGTTTGCCGGCCGTAAGAAGCAGCGACGTCGATCGTTTCATTACGTTGAATAGAATTCGCGTGCCGTGTATCTATGACGTTCGCTTCCGATCGAATTTTTACTCTTAAACTCAATACTCTATTGTTAAATCTTAAATTAGTAGCATGTTAAATATACATATGTATACATATATATGTGTATATATATATATATGTGCGTGTGAATATTTGAAGAAATAAAAAATGTTTACGTGTGTTTGTTATATTTTATCCTAGCCCTAGAAGAACTCGACTTGGATACGATTTGAAGACGGTGCCGTTTCTAACACACCGGGGGATGCGGTAGAGCAAGGGCGTGAATGGGGTCGTGAAATTGAAAGATTCGAACGGCATTCATGCCAATTTCCTTTCGACGCGATTTCATAATTTTATTGGCAATTTACGGCCCATTTACCGCTTGCGTGTAAGGATCGCGCAGACGCCGTTTGGCCGCTTTCTCGATCGGCGCCACGATCTGCTACTTCCTCGTCACTTGTGTCACCCATATTCGGGAGGGTAACGATATTTTTAGGGTTACGCACTACGCGCGTACACTGAAATCTTCGTCCGAACGAAATTTACGAATGACGGCGCGCTGATTCGATGTACGATTCGGAGGGTCTTCCCGCGGGGGTGTTCGTGTAATTACGCAGTCCTAAAGCGGACGAATATTATCGAAGCCTTGCAACAAATGTAATTTGAAAATCCTTTCGGGGTTTCCGTTGAATGGAAGGCGAAAATATTATTTTTTTTCGCGTTACCGCTCCGGCGCGAATAAATTTTAGGTATCGTCAATGTAATATTACTGGCGAATTTCGGAGTTTATAATGCGCTTTATCGCCAATGAATTTCAATCGGCCAATTTTATTCTCTTTATCTTTGTGCGAAAATTGTTTTGATATTTTCTCGACTCTATTACAAAGATACGAAGTTTGGGACCTTTGTTATATCAATATTGTACAATTTTTTCATTTGTTCATTATTTAAGCATTTTATTTGTTAAAATGTATTAAAAATAATTTGCGGTCTTTTCTTTAATAAAAAATAAAATTTCAACAAAATCGAAGCGTATATTCGATCTCTATCGAACGTAAATAAAGAAATGATCAAGACGTGCGTCACTTTCTAAAAGGTACTTTCTATCCTGTGAAAAAATCGTGTTTAGTAAGCCGTCGATTTTCGAGGCGGACTGTACTCGCATGCCAACAGCGTCGGTCGCCTGAAAGTCGAGCACATCATTTTATCTCCATGATAAATACGCTACATTTTATGCGCATTATTTTGCGCCCCCTCCATCCGCACGTGAGAGCTGCCCAAACCTCCGATCCACCCTCGTGCAACCTCCGCGCCACCCGCTTGCCTCCTCGTAGCGTTTCTCACCCCCTCGAGCGACACATACGTGCAACGCGGTTGTATCTCTCCATGCTCGTCGTTCGCAACCCGACGACCCGCTGCCCCGCCGCCCTCCGGCCTCTCTCAGCACCGCCACCTCCTCCGTCCAACGTCCTCCAACCCCTTCCTGTCCTGCTCTCTCGCGCGTCCGTCCGTCCAGCCACCGCCACCCCGTACACAGCCCATCTTTTTTAATGTTAGGCAGTTATAGCCGTGCGCAGCGCGAGCTGTCCCTCTCCCATTCTCTCTTTCTCGTCGCCGCTCTTCCCGTTCTGTCTGTTGCACTCCGCGTTTCTCGCTCTTTCTCGCTGTCACTGTCTCCCTCTCCCTCTCGTTCGCGCTCTTTCGACAAAAAAAAAAGAAGAGGACTTAGGTCAATTTTTATCACACAAACCGGCCGACCGAGCGGCGCCCATAAAAAATGCCTCTTTACGTATGGCGATTGGTCCGCAACGGGCTTCGGGGGTAATGCCGAACCGCTCTCTCACTTCCTCCCCCTCTCGCGGTATGCTCCTCACCGTTGGCGTCTCTTTTCGACGCGCGTTCTCCGCTTCTCTACCTGTCCTCCTCGTGCGCTCTCTTGCGCTCCTCTGTCTCTTTCGCCCTTTCCTCCTTTTTTTTTCGACGCGGGGAAAAAATGCGCGCCGCCCGTCGATTGGTCGAGGGGACAGATGACGTAGTGAGCGACGTGCCACCCCCCGGCTTTGGGGGTGGGGATGCACGCGAGACGGTGGTGAGAGGGCGCGCGGTTGAGTGCGAGCGCCGGCACCGACGGGTGCATATATCGAGGGGGTGTTGCATGCGAGGGTGCAAAGGGAGAGGAAGGGGAGAACCTCAGATCAAATTGGAAATATTATTATACGTAAAGAATCTTCGCGGGATCTCCGCGCAGAGTGAAAGAGCCAGTAGTTCTTGTGCGTCCGGCAAAACGCGATATCTTTAAATGTAAGAAAACTAAATATGATCGAGATCGATAGTCTCCCTCTCTCTCTCTCTCTCTCTCTTCTATACAAATTATTCATTTTTTTAATAATATTTTTAAAATTGCATTTGATAAATATGCGTGTAATTTTCATGTTCCTCTGAAAAGTCAATATTAAAAATTTACGTGATTGATTGGTTTTCGATTTTTTATTTGACGCGCGTCTCCGATTATCGCGATACAAATTTTTCGCGTCTCACATCGTCATCCGACAAGGAAAACACTTAGTGTCGAATTAAACGTAACGCTCGAAATGCATTTCAAAAAATATGCACGCGGACGAAAAAGAAAAATAATTAAAACATTTGCCGTCGCGGTTGTGCAATTGATCAGTCAACTTGTTGAATTTCTCGTGCGAATCGCGTCCATCTCCAGCGGCTTGGAAACAGCTCTAAAACATCGACGAAAAGCGCTCGAGGCGCGCATCGTCGCGGAAAAGAACGAGCGCGCGAACGTGCATATATACGATGCGACACATAAAACTTTTCGGAAGGGACGGTCTGTCGGCGCGATCGCAGGAGAATCGAACAGCGGACCCGGCTACGTGAGAGACACAGTCGTACATTTTCGTCCGCGCGGGCAGATATTTGTTTAGCCAGCACCTCGATATGACATGATCAGCGCATTAACCCCGCTCGCATTTTTCCATCCGCGCGGTCCTCTTCTGGCTGGCGCCTGCCTGGGATGCGTTTTTATCGATTCGTAGACCCCTGCCCCTCGCGCGACGGCGCCCGTGTATCTGTATGTCCACCTCCACACTGCCGGCGTACAAAGCATCGATAGAGAAGCATACAGATTGGACTGGGCGTCCCTCTTTTTCGAACGCAGCCCTCCCGCGCCCGGGGACACCCCATCGCGGAACTTCCGAGAGAGCCCCGGAATAATAAGGCCTCGTGTAGCCGCGCGTGTTCCTCTTATGCTCTTTCGCGCTGGTTTTGTAAATATATCCCGCGGCCATCTCTCGGAAATCGCGTTCGTTCGGATTACTTCGCATTTAACGCCGCGTTTCAATCTTCCAGTCGCTGACTTACATTGAATTGGATTATTATTTTTTTTTTTTTTTTTATTTCTATTTAAATTTTTTTTCAGACGCATCGAATATTGGAAATTTGCTAGATCGATAAGATAAGTATCTTGAGCGATCGCTTCTCGTCGTTACGAGAATCGCTTTGCTAAATTTCAAAGCTGACGTAAATTTTACAAAAAAGAGAGAGAGAGAGATCCCTTTTTGCGATCACTCGGGCTATTCGCCGTCGAATTTTTTAAAACCACTTTAAATTTACCACCAGGCTGTAAAAGGTGGATAATAAGTTTTATGGGCCGTGCTCGCCGACCATCTGCGATCCGTCATAGGCCGGCGTTCGCGTTACGTCCGATTCGTTGCCGATACATCGTCATGGGTTACACACAGGACGGCGTAACGTTACATCCGGTCGAGTTTCCGTTATTTGTGGACGCGTCGGATTTTGTCAAAAGATACACAAGAGTTTCGTCCGCTATTTCTCGATCATCTCTTCAAATCGATATGACGCGCGATAAAAAAGAAGGAAAAACTTTTGACGCGACGGGTCTAAGCGAAAAGATCGACCCGGAGAAAGGAGCAGGAAGTCGGGCGCCGCGGTCGGGGCTTTTATCGCTTACGGAAGTGCCAAACACCTGTGGAATAACGGCGCGACCAAGTACATCGTTGGCAAAGAAAAACGAAAGTATTTAGC